GTCTATGATGTATTTTCGATCAGACGAGATCTCTCTCCCCCGTCTGTGTGCGAGGGGGCGGGGCAGTTTACACACATGCAGCTGCTACATGCAGCGGAGCACACTGCGGAGATGGCGGAGAGAACGCGCTCCGAGGTGTGGTTAAACTTTACCCGTCTCGATGTGGAGAATACTTGTTACCATAAGTGCAATAAGAGTTTAGCATGTAAGCACGAGCAATTTGTCTAAACATTTAGCAAAAGTGCACCGCATGCAGACGGAGGAATGTACCGGGTTCGACCGTCTTTCTAGCAGCTCTGTAGCCCCATCCACGAGTAACGTTTCCACGTCAGGTGTTATGTATGCTAGCAGCAACACACGGAGTTAACTCCATGATACAAACATGGGTTAATGATTAGAGGAAACTGAGTTATTTATTTAGTTAAAATTTCAGCTATTCTGTTTACAGTCTGTCATCAGATTATTTAATACGATTTGTTAAAGGCTCAGGGCAATCTCGATGACAAAGGTCAATGTTCCCCCCCCCTGTGAGCCAGCCGCGAGCATGGTCGCCGCGTCTTTATTACGTCATCACAATGTTAGGTTACCAACGTAAGCCTGTTCTGACATTCGGTGATATTTTTTCGGTGCTAAAACCCTTTCGGCCGAAAGGGCCTTTTTAACCATTTTCGGCCGATAATTTTCGGTGGCCGAATATTCGGTGCATCCCTAATAAAGAAGTCATATGTAATATTATAAAATCACATGCATCAGGGGTTGTACACTTTAATGTGTCCATTCACTAACCGACTCTTTAGGAAGGAAGCTGTAAGGCCTCTTGTTATAGGAGTGGTCCTCATCAGTGTCCAGGGGCATCTGTAGACAGTTAACCATTATTTTGACAGTGCTTTACATGCACGGTTTAACTCCTCCAAAAATAATCCAGGCTCGATTCAGAATGACACAGTACCACACAAAACAAATGTTGCATGTACCATAAGTTCTATGTAGTATGTGTTTTAGGAGTAGTAACCCATTCTGAAACAGGCACACAGGGTCATAGATACGTTGAGCGATACACTGACCATGGTGCTGCTTGCATGTGTCCTTTTACGACTGATCCTGAATGTACGTGGGACATTGTCGCTAAGGGTCGCCCTGCCTTCCTCACTATAGTGAGCAAACTTCTTTCCATACCTGCAATTAAGACACATTTTCTTCACCAGAAGGTTGAATTTTAGAGCCAGGTGTTCCCCCCAAATCTTCTTGATAATACAATTACAAATTCAAATGTTTTTGTAGCACTGCAGCATACCCTTCCAGTCCAAAGTTTTCCACCAGGATAACACACCACCACCTTCTCAGGAGAGACATGTCATGCTAAAGAAAGAGCATACATTTTCATTAAGTTTGTTATAGAATTTTAATGTGACTTCTTTCCTTAATACTTACAATGCTGAAGTCAAAGCTGGCCTCCATGACAAAATACCAGGCATACTGTAATGAGAATTTTATTAGCACATGCAAGACATAATGTACACGTGACGGCTGGGTGTGACCCGGTCCTTTCACAAAATGGACACTGGAAGGTGTCCGAGTCCAATTTGTTGAGCTCTGGGCGTGCTCCATCACGGAGTGTTGTGTTGTTTGTCTATAGGTGAATAAAATAGAATACAATTTAAGTGACTTTAATATTGGAAATAGTTAACTCCTTAAACAAGCAGCAATGGACTGGCCTGTATAATCCTATGGGACAAAGCTGGTCATACTTCCTCACTTTCAGAAGGTAACCCTTTAATGCACAAAACAACCTCTAGATTTCACTGTGGTTCGAACAGAAAGCCCTTCAGCTAGTTTAAATGTCAGGCCTACAACATAAACCCCATCTAAAAACAGAGGCTCTGTCCTAATTACCTGATTGCATCCACCTGGGTTACTTGGCTCTACCCAATAACTACCATTTAACTTTAAACCACACTTAAAATAATAATTATACATATTTACATGTCTACAGTATAGGAGCTAATACATGTTTTAAATAAAAAACATTCAAATGTGAAAGACACCTTCAATTAATATTTAAAACTTACATAAAATCAGATTCTTGTAAAAATTAGAGTACATGCATGTTCAGTTAGCATATATGCTAAGTTAACTGAACGTCGAGCATGTCAAGCTAAGATAGATATATATATATATATATATAGCAAAATAAACACAATTACACTGCGCTAAACAGCCACATCGACAAACAAACGAGAACCTAAATAGTATGTAATTATATCTAAAACCACAATACGTTAAGTACCTGTACTCGGTGCGCCATGTTGTTTGTTGTCTGTAAACCTCACGTGTTGGGCGTGCTCTCTTCTGACCATATTTGGAAGTACAACTTTTCGCGGCCGCAGCTAGACCCTTCTCAGCCACCGTAGTGTCGTGTCAGGTGGGCGTGTCGTGTACCATCGTGTACCATCGTGTACTGGCCGCGGCCGCAGCTAGACCCTTCTCAGTGAGTGAGGGAGAGAGGGAGAGAGCACCGGTACCGGCGCTGTTGTTATTAGAATCTGGTGCTAGCTGCGGATATAAGAAGAAGATGTTTCTACAATGATGTGGAGGGAGAGTCCTCTCCAGTCAGACTGAGAGGCTGATAACTACAGCTCAGTGAGGTAAAGGACTCTGAGTGTTTAGATAGTTCACTTTAGTCTAAGTTCAAACGGTTTGGTCACAATTTATGTAAACACATATTTCCAAGGCACTCCTTTATAATTATTGGGATAAACAGGTTTGAAATCATTCCAATGTATACTATAGGTTAGTAACCACAAATATCCTTTAAAACTGGACTTTCAACCCAAACCCAGCTGTTGACTTGTGGATGCAAGCAGCTAATCGCAGACTCAACCAGAGAAAGAAGTAGGCCTACATCATCAGCTACCATGTCTGACAGAGAGGAAGACAGTGAGGAGAACAGTCAGGAGGGAGTGATGACAGCTTGTAGGATTACTGGTCGTGCTAATGTTGTCTTGTGTTCGCCTCTGCATGTGTGTTCTGTGTTCACCTCTGTGTGTGTGATCAGTGTTCACCTCTGCATGTGTGTTCTGTGCCGTGTGTCTGACAAATAAAGACCGGTTTATTTATTTCATTTTAAGGATGAGCACCAAGCAACATCTCCAGGTGCTCCTTTGAGAACCAGGGCAAAAAAGTTATGTGCACCCCTGGGCATATGGCTGTCTAACAGAAGTTAGTCACTTACTTACTTTAATAATATCATTGTGTGATTGTTATTTGCTAATCTACTTTCACTTCTTTGCTAAACTTGAGAAAATTCTGTTTTAATTAATCTTTTCTTTTAGGGAAGTGCTATACTTAATCACTGGTGGAAGACTATATTCAAGCAGTAGCTCAGCGATGGGGATTTTTTTATTTCTTGATATGGAGTTACTTTACTAATAGAGATATCTTGAAAATCTGGCAACCCCCATTTCATAAATTGACAGCTACTTGTGATAAGGCTCACGCTGTGGCATCTCATGAACTTGACAATATAACAAACAAGAGTGGATTATTTCATCAAATGTAGGCCTTAATTCAACATTATCATCTTTCCTTCAATAAAATATATACTCTTTACAAAAAACAAGTGATAAGAAAAATGCAGATGCTTTACTTAAGTAAAATAACCGATATATTCATGTGAAAATCCAATTTATAAAATGTCCTACATTCAAAATGATAACTGATATATTGTTAGCCTGCTATGTTAAGATTGAGGTTGAGCTTGATTTAACTTATTTATACATAGTAGTAAACAAGCTCAAGCTATAAACCAAATAGTGGTTAAGTATTTTGAGGCCCCAGCCCCCTTCAAAGGTTCACAGAGTACATGTGAGCTGATCTGTTGGGAGATGATTAAGGGAGGACAGAAGAAAAAACTAGTTTCAAATAGTACACTTGGAAGGGAAATGTCTATGGAGCTGCTTAGAAACTGGGAAGCAAACTAACTCTGCTTAATCCTCTATTAAACTATCATTTCAAAATGTAACTAAGATTTGAAACTAGCAATTCAAAACATACTCTTAAAAGTGGAATGTTTATGGAGGTAATAAATAAATTGAGACCAAGTTCAGTTGCAGATAGCCTTTTACACACTCAAAATCTGTTCAGTAACCAGTGAGTCGCCCCCTTCTGGATATTACAGAGAATGCAAGTTATATTAAATCTGGAAAACATGTTTTTTTACTTTTCATTAATTTCTTTCTGTTATACCTGAAATGCACTTGAAAGGATGTACTATACTGCATGTTTGTAAAACCATACAACAACATATGCATGGCTCCTATGTAGATGATTTATATTAATATAATTATCCGATGGTGCGACAATGTCCTTCAGCCTCTTTATGGAACATAATCTAAGAACAAAATAAGAGCTAAAACCTTGAGACAGTATATATAGTATGATATAGGCTTAGTTTGTCGGGGGACATCTTACTTCTTCCTTCTCTCTGTCTATACCTGTGTGCTCTCATGTTCCGATTAACCCAGCTTCCCCAAATGTCTTTCTTTTTGGTGTCTGTATACGCCGGGATCCGGAGTCATGGATGATCCTGCGCTCCTCTGCCCTGGATCTTGAGTGGTGGCTGTGGTCCTGGATCATAGGTCCAGGATGGATATCCTCGTGGATTCATCTTCCTATTATACACACATGCATTTCCAAACATTTGGACTACCTATGTTGCAAATGTATTATCTTTTCAATTTACACACGGCATCTATTGCACGTCTGTCCGTCCTGGGAGAGGGATCCCTCCTCTGTTGCTCTCCCTGAGGTTTCTCCCATGTTCCCCTTTAAACTGTGGGTTTTCTTCGGAAGTTTTTCCTTGTACGATGTGAGGGTCTAAGGACAGAGGGTGTCGTATTGTCATACTGATATTCTGTACAAACTGTGAAGTCCACTGAGACAAATGTAACATTTGTGATATTGGGCTATATAAATAAACATTGATTGATTGAGACAGTGACTTTATATTTTTGAATTTTAATGTTGCCATGAACTTCCAAAATCAAAAAAAACAAATGATCGAAAATACAATATAAACTTCTGAAAATCAATACACTGAACTTTTTTTTTATTTTAACTTTTTCTTACACAGGGCAAAAAACACAGAGCAAAGACAAAGTCCGGATGGCTAGTGACTCTGTTAGTCCTCTTTGCTTTTCTAGATCGCAGAATATGTTTTTTTCACAAACATTGAGCCTCCCCCCCCTTATTATACTTTCAAATACAGTTCACTAGTCAGGCATTTGCAAGACGTACAGTACAAAGTGCCCAATAACAAGTCCTGGAGCTAACAATTGCATTGAAATTTCAATCAAGCATGTCAAGAAATCCACCACTTTGTATACAACGTCCCCCCAGACTCGACTTCCCATGAACAAGAGTCAGTTGAGACTGAAGGTGTACCAGATGTATTGAAAGGGTGTGAAAAAAAGATGGGAAGCGAGACCTGGAGATTCAATGCAATTTGCTGTCAAATCAGTGCACAAGTTCGTTATGGTGAAAAATCTCACAACACTCCAAGATCCAACGGCAGAAAAAGATCAACATCCTCGGGTGGAAACCCAAAATGCTGCACTTGATCCAATAACATGGTTTTATTCAGAAAATATGAACATTAATCTATTATAACTCATGGCCTAACACCCGTAAAATACAATAAATTGTTTTCATTCCTTCTGCACACAGAACAAATAAATCTCTTCTTCCAGTCATCATCCACTAGTTGTTAACCTTGCACTTTGAAATACATGGTCCTTTTGTATTCTTGTTGTCATGGGGGGGAAAAGGACATACAAGTATGGTTTAGAAAAAAAATCTAAAAAACAAATATATTAGTCTGGAGGAAAATAGAAAAAATGTCCATAGATGGGCGAGGTGGTGTCTGTGGATTTGGCCAAATAAAAAATAAGCTAGAAAAAAAAAAGACCTGTTGTACCCTGGTTGGTGGGAGCTGGAGGAGAGGGAGGGTCTTTGTGTCCCAGTTGGTGGGGGAAGTTAGTGGTGCTGTGCAATCCTCTCGTCTTAACCCCCTTTGCCTACCACTCCTTCTTTTTCTCATCCATGGACACTCCGCCAGGTCCAAGTGCCACCACCAGCAGCAGACCGCCGATGACCGAGGTGGTCTGGAAGAAGTCGTACTTGAGGAAGTCGTGCATGGGCTTGTAGGCGGGGACGGTCCAGAAGGCGTTGAAGTAGATGTTGATGGCCAGAAGCCAAATGACAAGGGTCAGAGCCGCCAGCTTGGTTTTGAAGCCGATGGCAACCAGGATGATGAGGGCGGTTCCAACCATGTTCTGCAGGATCTGCGGAAGAATGTTTAAGTAGCTGCGTGAAGATCTGCACGTTACAGAGTGCGGTTATCATGTAAAATAGACATATCAGTATGCAAATTAATTTGCAATGACTCACTGAACTAAAATGAATAGAACCTCAAAAGCTTAACTGTTGTGGAAGCTTTGGAAAGTGAATGTGAGTCATCCTAGTACATTTGATTTGTTTTATACTTATTCTACCTCCGTCTTCCCTCTGTCAACAGAATTGTCATTTTTACTATGTTTTTTTTATACAGATTCAAACAAACAAGATGTATTGTTTTAATTATTTAGCACTTACGGTGTAAGACAAAATATGTTACCATTGGGAAGAACCAGGCTAGCCGCTTCCGCTGCTTCCAGCTTATTATAAATAACTTATATTCACATAGCACACAGACATGGGAGTAGCTGCATCATTCTCCTGTTACTCTTGGCAAGAAAGTAAATAAGCATATTTCCTAAACTCATAAATGTTTTTAATTGAACTCTTAATCTAATTACGTTTATGTCTTTATCGATGTTTTTGGTGGCGTTGCATTGGTCTGAAGATGTTATATCCATCCATGTTAAAACTGTTTATGTTGTTGTCAATACTCACAGAGAAGAAGTTGGAGTCAAAGTGCAGCAGAGTCATGAACATGAGCACTAGCAGTACTCGACCGCCCAGCTGCATGTACTGCTTTGGAGAGCTCTCTCCCATGGAGGGCACTCCAGCGAACATGCTCTTTCCTTCCGAACGAGACTCAGCCAGCAGCAGCAGCAGACCCCCTCCGAGGGCGAGGTTTCTGGGAGAGGAGAGAGGAGGGTTACTTTAGGACAGTGCATAAAACATCTGAAAAACACACAACATTGTACACTTAAGGAACTCATTAATGGCACTCAGAGGTTGATCAGTGTGGCTGCAACATGTTCTTCTTAATATTATGAATCTGTTATTTTTTCCAAATAAACACTTACTGATTTGGTCACGCCAATCAGAGCCCATATTGATATTTTAACTTACTTTAAAAGTAACCAGTGCTAAACAATTGGCTTCTCTTTGATAGCATAACTTCTCCTTCCAGCACTTACATTTACCCTGACTGCATACTAACGACCAACATCACATGAATTAAAACATACAGAAAGCAGAAACAGCCAAACTCGACTGTAGAACTGTATTTATGGGATTTCTCTGATGGCTGTAGACTGTTCTGTCCTGTTGATGTTTAAATAAATCACAGGTCTTGCTCACAGTAATGAATGGGTTCTGTTTGATAACTGAGTCGCTTTCTCATTTAGTACCATAGCAAGTGAAAATGTCCAATGCTGCACTAAAAGCATTACATAGTGGCAAATGAATTAGGTTAGTTCTGAACTGTGAACAGGAGCAGTACAATTTAAAATTCAAAATGTGTATGTATATTAGAATCAAACAAATGAAACAGGCTTTTTATGTCTAGGAGTCATAAAACAGGTCAAACCAGATGTAAATATTCCAATAAATACAAATAGAGTTTGTTTTACGACTGACACTTACCTCATCAGAAATTTAAGATCCCATAAAATGCTGTATGCAACAGTCTGGTAGGGGTACAAAAATAAATAAGGATTAGTTACAAAGATACATTACTTGTGTACAATAGAAATGTAATATGATTGTTCTCACCTGTAGCGCTATGATGCCAAACAGTCCAAAGCAGGCATACTGTACAAAATTTCTACTGAGGATGAGGACACAGCCACCTATTAACAAACACACACACACAAAGTTATGGTAATTATGTCTGCAACACACTGCGTTGGCTTTCAACTTTCTTCTTTATAACGACAAATTGAAATGCAACAGTAATAGTTATAATTTCTCTGTTAGATCATAGACATCACATTTGACTGAAAGAACAGCATTTTTGGCAGAGAAGTACAATGGTTTCTAGATTCGGCGTATTAAAAGTGAAGTCACACTGGAGGTGCTGCTTTATTTAACTATTTAAAATAATTTAAAAAAATGTATTTGGGAGGCAGTTTTCAATGTGTTTAATGAGTTCAGGGAGGCATTTTCACACTGCAATTCTGAAGTGATCCGTGGACAGGTAAGCTGCCTTTTAGGCTCATTCAAGTCTTGTCATTTATCTGTGACCTCACTAATCTGCTTGATGGTTTACGACCCAGAAGTGAAGTTCACTGTGTTTGTATCTATTGCACAACTTATGTGGAAACAATTGGGGCTGAAAAGCACTTTTGTCAATTGTTCCTACTTTATACATATTTGCCCTGAATCACAAACCTATTTAAATGTTTGAGAATGCCACAAATTGTTTTTCATATTGAAACTGATGTCTTACATTTTTGGTAAAGCTCTTAGCTTCCACTACTTCAAGCACACTCTTGTATTGCTAGCATTACAAAAGCAACATCTTTTGGTTAGCCATTTGAATCACTTGTTAGTGTTGTGTAATACTCCACCCAGTAACCCGACCAAAAGATGCCACTTCTTACTTTCAAAATCTAATTTCATGTCCTGACAGTAACCTCACAGAGCACTGCCTCCCTTTCACTTACCCAGCTGTCCTACGAGGTTAAGCAGCACAAAGCACGTGGCCAGGAAGTAGCCACAGCTCCAGGTAGCCTCTATGTAGTCTCTCTGCTCGTGCCACTGGAACCACATGCGGATGCCATCTTCCAGGAAGGTGCTGATGAGACAGAGACGTGCCAGGTGCGGCAGGTACTGTTTTGTTACCCGCAGAAACTGGGCAAAAGAGGGAGATAAGAGGAGAAGTTATTGACAAGAAACAGGATGGCTTATAGTGCAAAGAGGAAGATTCAAAGGAGAGCAGAACTCAGACGTAACATTACTGGGTGCCCAAGCTGTAACACAGAAAGCTGAATGTCACTCAACTGTATTGAACAGTCACCTAAAGACTCCTTTAAAAAAAGCCAACAATATTCCCAAGAGTTTAAAATCATTAAAAGAAAATAAGTCATCAGGCCTGCTAGTAATTATTATTTACATGGGCAATTATGTGAATGGGAATCAACCCACAATTGCAAGGCGAAGTGAATGTCGCAACAGTCACTTAACACTGAATTGCTGCCTTGGATAGGCTTAGCTGGCAAAAATAAACTCCAGAGAAACCCTAGTGCCACATAGCACTGACCCTTGTAAAAAAGGAGAGCGAACACCATAACCTGAAGATATGGCAGATGGTGTGCTACCTGTGGAGAACGTTTTTACTTTGATTTAGTAACCCGGGGAACTGCAATGTGTAACATAAGTACACAAAGTGGATCAGTGTTGGTCTTTTTACCTTTTAATCCACTTTAAGAGTAGCCCGGTTTGACATAGCTGCTACTTAGACGCCAATATTGATTCTTTATCATTTCATTACAACAACAACTTTTTATTATAAAATGTTTAAAACTAAAAGAAGAGGTTAAGAGGTCAATCTGTACATGATGTTCTACCCATTCAGAATACCCATCTTTAATATTCAAGCAAAAAACAAAACCTACAAAGGTATACTAACTGCTTATGAACATTTTGCACCGATTTCAAAAGGCAGAATGTTCCCAGTGTTTAAGTTCTTTTGTCGTCAACAAAATAACAAATCCTCAAAATACCCTAAATAGCTTGATGTTAAATTATTTTGAGTTGAAGTATGATGAATGTTTAAAAAAAACAATAAAATACCCTACGATCTTTTCTCAAACATAATTCATGAACTGATCCTTAGATAGTACAGTGACATAGTAGAGGTATAGTGAACTGCCCACAGCTCCTCCTACTGAGCAGTCCACATCAGCACTGTCAGACCCCGGCAGCCTATCAGTGTCCACCAACTCCCGCTATGACGACTGCTATTTGGTACATGAATGGATGAAGTGGGAGCCAATCCGAGGTCCCCGCAACAGCCTAGAAATAGACCATTTTGTAAAGTAACGTGTAAGAAACATGTTAGCTTGGGTCAAAATGGGCTTGCAGAGTTTGTTAAGCAAATGAAGCGAAAAAGTGCAGGTTCCCTTTTTCTGAATGTTTTACAATACACACTCGTGATAGGAGTGTATAACTTAATCAGTTGTGATTAGATTAGGGATGAGCTGCAGTGTGTGGCATATCGATTGAGTTCAGTCAACACAGCTGCCATAACAGACACAAAACGTACTCTAGTACTTGATGATTAAACTGACAGTACTACTAAAATGAGATTTAAAAAAAGGTTGCTTATCCAGCAACAAAACAAGGACATAAATCCAACACTACTGCACACAACTCTTTTCAGCCAGACTGCAGTAACTTTTTAAAAGGACAGAAGGTACAGGAAACAAAATCAGAGCTCTGGGACTTTTTCCTAATTCTTCACAGGACCATGAGTGACACAGGCAAACCTGACATCTGATATTGATAACTCAGCTCAACTCTAATAGATCAGAGCATTGCCTGAAGTCATATCAGTACAACAAAAACAGACAGACACAACTATACAAGGCAGCTGTTGCATGTTTTAAAAAAGTGAAGGTAATGTTTATATTCAGTTATTTGGTGAGTTGTGTGGAGTCAAGGCCACATGCAGAAACTAAGATTAGGAAAACCAAATGCTTCTGAGATATGTTGCAACTCTAAGCCACCAGCAATGTCAAACACTAACGGGTTTAAAACCAAATATGTCTAATAAGTATTAGCCAATAACTTGGAGGCTAAGCCGAGTAATTTCCCAACTGCTGTCTGGCACTGCCTGGCTTAGATATGACTAATAAACCAGAAGGAGACGACAAGATAACTATCTGGCACATATATGTAGCAAATTCCTCATTGATATTGATTAAACTAGGTTGTTCGCTCCCAAACATATGTCAGTTTCATTCTGTCTGTGTGAAATAATAATGCTAGCCCATGGACCCATCTGGAGACACATGACAACACCTCAACCAGTTGTCATGCAAAAACATTAGCGTAAATAAGCATGCTAACGGTAAAAACACTTATTGAAAAGGCTTCACAGCGTTCCAGGAAACAGCTAGGAAGAGCTGACGCTACTTCATGCAGAGAGAAACTAGTTAGCCGTTACATGCTAACAGCGGCTAACTGTCGTGCTAAAACTGAAGTTACCTGGTCTGCCACGTCTTCGGCTGTGTTCATGAGTTCTTCCTGCCCCATGTTTCGTTAATATAACGATTATTTTAATAAGTAAAGATCAGCGCAACACAATTTTGATGTGTTCGGTATTTTTTGCAGGCAGCGTTTGAACTGCTCCTCCCACCGGTTAACGTTATTTACTTGAAGATTTCCCGATTGCCTGAACGCAGAGAAAGGCCGCCTCCGCCCCACAATGCCCCGCGATTTGACGAGTGAGAGCCCCCCTAGATGGTACTGCAACCGCTGTATGCCACGTATACTGATCCGTACAGGGGCTTGAACCAGCTTCAGTGTTGTTTACAGGTTTTTACTGATTAAATGAGCACAGGATTATTATCTTCACCTCACCTCAATTCATTGTTACCATAATCTGTAGAATATGTCTTTGTTCAGCCTTGCAAACGCTGCACACTCTCATGTAAAGTAGTTCATATGGAAGGTTTCACTTTTTGGACAGATGTTCATTCCTCTTTGCTAAAAATGTTTATTATGGTCTATTAATCCTTTTATAAAAGTAAAGCTGGCACATTTAGTAAGTGACTTTTGGCAATTGAAGTCTATTATGTTGACTTATCTTGTACTTTAATACAAGTTAGATGTTGAATGAGTATTTATACACTGATGTATTTTTCTACAATAAACTTTACTCTTTTATTGGAAATGTCTATTTAAAGATATCATTATTTGACTTACTATTTTGACTTACGTTATTGACTTATGATTCTTCATTTGTTGTTATGCTCTAACATTTCTATTGGTATCTTAGACTCTAAGTCTAAGATACCAATAGAAATGTCTTAATGAGCAAACCTGTTGTAACTAAAGCTGCATTTGAAAATCATAATGTCAAAGTACTTTCTTGAAACAAAATACAATTATTGAATATGTAAACTAATGAATACAAAAACACCAGGCTTTTTCACTAGTAAAGTAAAAGCTGCACACACAAGTCACATAATGTAATGAATTTGAGTCATGATGTTTATTAATTTCTGCCTTCAACTAACTATTAATGCTGCTTCTTATTTGCTAAAAATGCCTGGCTGCAGCTTTGTGGAGGGAAATCTGAAGGAGGCACTGTGCTCTTCAGATTCAGATTCAAATTTATTGTCATTACGTATACAGTACTAACGACGAAATGTAAGTTTAGGCATCTGACCAGAAGTGCAAAAAAGCAGTGCAGGAGTCTACATAATGAGAATAATTATACATGGAATTATTATACATAGAATAATTATAAATAGCTATAAACAGATGAATATATACAGTGTAAACGGAATTGACAGTAAAATATATAAACAGGTGGGTGGTGGGTATGGGCTTGAGTCTGTCAGCGGGCAGAGTTCAGCAGGGTAACAGCCCTTTAACTGTCGAGACCAAAGCCTTGGGGAAAGTCTTAAAACATATGTACACTCCCTGATAGCAAATGATGACGAGGCTCAGAAGAACAATTTGGTGGTCACACAAGATATTTTACAATGCCTGTTCATTCCTCTTTGCTAAAAATGTTTATTATGGTCTATTAATCCTTTTATAAAAGTAAAGCTGGCACATTTAGTAAGTGATGACATGTAATTGAGTACCAGTTTTCAGGAGCAGTGAACAATATAATTTAACTAAGAGTTACATAATAGTATTTTTCAAAAATGCTCCAGTCTGCATAATAAGTACTTTTACTTTGGGCAATTGAAGTCTATTTTAAATATTTGTACTTATCTCGTACTTTAATACAAGTTAGATTTTGAATGAGTATGTATACACTGTTCTTGCTACTTTTAGTAAAACATGCCTCTCATTTTTCTATAATAAACTTTACTCTTTTATTGGAAATGTCTATTTATAGATAGAATTATTTGACTTACTGCTTTTATGATTCTTCATTTGCTTTTATGCTCTAACATTTCTATTGGTATCTTAGACTTAGACTTTAAGTCTAAGATAGCAATAGAAATGTCTTGAGAAAACCTGTTGTAACAAAAGCTGAATTTGAAAATCATAATTTCAAAAACACAATACAATTATTGAATGTGTAAATGAATGAATACAAAAACAACAGGCTTTTTCACTGAAGTAAAAGCTGCACACACAAGTCAAATAATGTAATGAATTTGAGTCATAATGTTTATTAATTTCTGCCTTCAACTAACTATTAATGCTGCTTCTTATTTGCTAAAAATGCCTGGCTGCAGCTTTGTGGAGGGAAATCTGAAGGAGGCACTGTGGCTCTTTAACTGTCGATACCAAAGCCTTGGGAAAGTCATATATACACTCCCTGATAGCAAATGATGACGAGGCTCAGAAGAACAATTTGGTGGTTACACAAGATATTTTACAATTCTTAATTACATGTTAACTAGATGAATTAATGCAGTGCCTGGGCGGAGTAATTCCACATAGTCTTCAACTTAATGTTTTTGTAGAGAAAATGTGTACATCATGGGGGAAACATTAAAAGAAACTGGAAGAGCTGTTATCTACAGCTTAACATCATACTGAAAGCTGATGTAGCTGTCAAATCGCAAATGACTTGCTAATAGCTTTTTCATACTGTACCTGCTAAAGTCACTTTTTATAAAGATCTATATTTATGTTCATCTTCTTCAGGCAATGAAATAAAGAGAACATAGACAATGTTAGTAAATCCAAATCGTTGTATTTTATACTAGAACACTTGGTTGCAAACCAGACAATACAACTTATCCAGTCAAAATGATGTGTTTACTGCCACTATCACATCTTCCTCCTTACATAAAGCAGCCTCTTTAGAACTGTGCAACATCACACCTCTGACAACAGACACATTTTCACATGCAGAAAATATGAAAGATCGAAAGGATGTTCACATAGGACAAGGTCAGGCTGGCTCTGAAAGGAATACTCCTCCAAACTGGTCGTGCTGTGTAAATCCCTGACAGATTACCAGTTATAAAAATACTATATGTATATGGTTTCTCTTTTTACTGTCCATTGGGCACTTTAACTGGTTTCTTACGCCCCGATTTCCAGCGGTTATTTCTGAATTTCTTCTGAAGACCACCCCCGCCCTGTTCCTAAAAAAATGAATGAAACAATAATTAAAATAACATTTCATCAGCGACAGCTATTAACATGAATTGAATTACACAAAAAAACAAAATGTATTGTAGATTTCTACATACCTTTTTGCGTTTCTGCTGTTGCACCTGCGTGTCCACCTCCACCTCCATCTCTTCATCTTCATCTGTCTTGAAGTCATCTTCCTCCTTAGCTGCTTCACCCTCTACAACTTCTTCTGGCTCGTCTTTTAAACTGAACATAGTAGCTGTGGGAACATATAACAGGGTTACAGCAAACTAAAACTCCTATCCTAAAAGCCACCATTCAGACGGACAAGTGATTTAATTCAAGAGGTTTTGCCTCGAGTTAAATTCTGCAGACCACCGGGACGCACAGTTAGACATAATAACCATAATAAAAAGTGGACAAAGATGTCTACAGTGTGTGCACTTGGGATACTGACGGGGGTAGAGGTCACTCATGCTGTCTTCTGAGTCACTGTGATCCTCGTCACTTGATGAAGTTCCCGCATGTGTTGAGGTCTTCCCCCGACTGGCCTCCTCTTCAGGGTCTCTGGGCTTTTTCCGTTGTTGTCTTGCTGGAACATAATCAATCCCTAGCTCCACACACTCCTCATCTAGAGCAGGAATGAGACAGTCATGTTAGTAAGTTTAAAGTGTAAATAATAAAATATTTCTGAGGTTGAATAGCTTGACTCAATATTGATCATACTGAGAGAACAATTTAATGTTTTTTGTCTATTCATAACTTAAAAGATGTGAACGCCCAGATTCAATTATGTGTAACTGCTAGGCAAACATATAGCTCTAAATAGAATGGCGTGATAAACGTTTAGTAATATTATCAATGAGTTTCGAAGAACCAAGGTACAATGGCAACACTGATAAGAACTGAAATAATACTACAGTGTACATATAAAATAGATGGTGAAGTCCAATCTTTATGTGAATATTGTCACAAAATAACTGCCTGAGCAGATTTAGAAAGATTCTCTTGATCATAACAGTGATACCATAGAAATACATTTTTTAAGTAATCCGATCATCATGATAGCTTCCATTTCCTTCCCGGATTAGAATATCACACGAAAAGTCTGTGTCACGAAGGTTGTATAACACAGTGGTTCTCAAATGGGGGTACGCGGAACCCTAGGGGTACGTTGGAGTACTGCAGGGGGTACGTGAGATTTATTTTATGTTAATGAAAAAAACAACATAAGTAATGCATGTAAACAAACTACTGATAGTAACTACTTTATTCAAAGGTTTACAGTAATTCTGGATAATAAAATGGGAAAAATAAACAGGGTGCTCTCTTTTCCTCTCCCTCTCCTGACAGCCCCTCAGTCTCGTGCAGCTCGCTGAACCTGTAATAAGTGACCCGACAGTAAAGAATACGTGTATGTATAACTAGTTTAGCTAGTTCCAGAGTAGATGAAATAGCTAAGTGTGTTAGGTCTAACTCTTAGTGTATTTAATTTTGCTCCACTCAACGGTCCGTCACAGCGGGGGAGCTGTGATCATGCAGAGCTGCGTGTTCTCCGTCAGCAGCAGTTGATCTGATCTCTGATCTCTCTCTCGCGTCCGGTTATACTTCACTCGCGTTTATGTCCAAATCTATCAGATCTAGCTAATTATATGACTGCCTGCTTATCAAAGGACACCTAAACAATAAGCGTTGCTTGGCAACGGCCTGCGGCCGCAGAGTATAGCGCAGCATTAGGCATATGTTTATATGAGGGGTCAAAATCCCATGCTCATAAAATGCTCATATATTTGTTTCTCTACATTCCCCATGCCCCAAAATAAATAAATAAACAATTTTTGGGAAAAGTAAGGAAGTTTGAGCAGTGTGGGTTTTATATGAACAGTTACACATATTTCAAAACGTGAAGTATAATAACTGCAGTTGCCTCCCTGTCAGAATGACAAAGATCCTCAGTGAAGCACAAGCCCATGTTTCTCACTAAATTGTAAGTACAATTTATTAAAAAGATCAGATCAATGCACTAATGTCGCCTTAGTGTTATTGCATGATGTTAAAATTGGTTTGCCATGAATTTAGTGATGGATTGTAAACATTTGAAATGTAGCATTTAAGTGTTTCTCAGTTACAAGGTTGTTGTTTTAATAAATCAGACACTGATGGTGCAGCGCTGTACTGTACCTCTTTATATAGGCATTTGTTCCTTAACAAATAGTTTTTGCGCTGATCAGGGGGTACTTGGCTGAATTTTTTTTTTTCAAAGGGGGTACATTATTGAAAAAAGTTTGAGAATCACTGTTAACATACTCTACTGTTCAAAAGCAGTCTATACCTAAGATCACAACCTGTAAAGAACAAGGTGACATGCCTGCAGATAAGTAATGGACTGACATTTTTCGAGGGCTTTCTTGAAGCGTTTCCCGTTGACATGTCTTAGGACATGATGAGGCTGTCGGTTAAGGTGTCTGAGGGTCAGCCTGCAGAAGAGCTGTTTTCTGGGAAACAGACAGGAGACATCACATTAAAGATATATCACACAAATGCAGATAGCTACACGACATGTTTTGAGTGATGATACATTATGGCATTCCTAGTGCAATTTCTGCAAGTAAGATTAGAAATGTGATTGTCTTTATAAATAATATGGTAAGCATTATTCTTCCTTACGGTTGTTTTGAGCTTTGTACAACATGTGGTTCATACTGTCTGTAGTTGAACTCGGCAGTCGTACTCAGTTTCTCATATTTCTTCCCTTTAGTAAACGCCTGGAGCTCCGTCAGGTTGCATGGAAACTCATGGCCATTCAGAGTGCATTTGATCTGAAAACAACAAATTAGGTGACCATGCAATCATCACAACACTTCACCCTGCATGGGTCCATGTGATCATTTAGCATTACGGCTAGCATCACATTGTACGACAGTGTGTTTCGTGAGATCTGATGGAATTAGCTCGCCAACCTTTTTGCCATCTGTAAACTGGAGGAAAGGGTGGTTAAGAAGAAAGGCTTTGACGTCCGCAGGTAATTCCTCCATAGCGTAAATAACTAATCAAAACAGATATATCGGTGTGTATAGAATAGTCCAACCCCTTACAGGAAATAGTGACTACACGTGGGCAAAGGGTCATGCTCTGTTGCATGATTTGTTGGCGCCATCTACTGACCAAAGTTAGGTAGGTCAGCTTTAACGATTGGATTAAGCTATTCAGCTTTAATTGTATTTAACTTATAAACAGGACCATTTGATTAAATAAATGTTGGTTATCCAAGTAAAGCTTTACGTTTTCAGTATTCTTCATAGGAAAACTGATCAAATAAGATGTAGAGGCACACTAGTATTATATAACTGTCCACAATAAATCAGCTACAATGACACAGACTAGTCAAGACTAACAGTAAACTCAAGAATGCAAAAATAAACGTTAATTAGATAAAGTCATGTGCTCTTAGTGCGTCAAGTCAACTGACAGGCAGAATATCACAACTCGAAATCAAAGAGCAAAACAAGTTTAAGAGAAAAAGAGGACATTTATCGAAAACGTACTCTTGTAATAGTAATCAACGGTATCAACGCTTGAAAGATTTTCTGAGGTGTAGAGTTGAAAACTATCAACTCAACTATCCGCAGGTTATTTGTACAGAGTGACTGCTCGTCTTTATTATTAACATCTTTGCTGAGAACGCAAAACCCCGCCCACATTTCCCCCACAATCCATCACTTCGGTAAACAAATGTCAAGTAAGCTAGCTACGATAGAATAAAGTAACAATAATAAACGTGAATATTTATGCAATGTCTGGACCAAATGGAGATCCACACATATCAATTGACGATGGTATTATCGACGACGGAGAAGATGAATTTGAGGAAGAAGGTAATGCACTAATGTGGTCATTCATTATAATCGGTGTAGCGTTATTGTAGTGAAGGATAATCACTCGGGTCACGTGCAGTGTGCTATTTCAGAGGTTTTTGGTCAATAAAGTCATACGCAGCCATTTCTATTAGATGTACACCTTCACCTGATGTTAGGTGACACTGACTTTGAATTAGCTTAGCATTGTTGAGGGGCTTTCTGATTGAAGCATGTTAATATCATTTTGAACTTCTGCATATCAGTCATATCAATACATGTATTCTTATGGGTTTTCAAAGTGACAGTAGTTGCGTTGTTCTCTGTTTGTAGAGCATATATAAGACTTATTGAATGATCAGTGCTGTCTATCTGCTTTTTTTTTTGCTCGAGATCAAATCCTCAAATTAAGAGTTCATCAAAGTGCATGTGTTCAGTAGAAATTTGATTAAAATCTGTTTAAAAGTTGTCTGAGAATAAAAAGAAACCAAATTATTCTAAATTAATTGTTTTTAAATCAGATTTAGTAACACTTTAGTTTTGTAAATTGTTGTCTTTTTAAGACCATTTTTTTACTCTTTATCTGAAAGTATATTATACACACAGGTTAAATATACTCAGAATTTGTGTTGGTTAATGCTGGGGATTATCAGATTATCAGACAGTCTAATTAAGGCTACTCTCTTCTTGCCTGTCTTTGCCAGCTATTTACGCAATAAATATGTTCCTTATATGAATAGGAAGTCAAAACAAATGGTACGTTTGGAAACCTTAATCCTGTCCAAATAAATGGGGATCTCAGGGATAAAAACATAGAAGCCTCTTTTTATGTTAAAGAATCTATTTTCTCAATAGAAGCTCTAACAGAAATCTCTTTCATGCATATCCACAGAGTTTGAAGCCATCAACTCGGCGCTTGATCAGATCAACTCCTATCTTGATGATATAGAAGATCGTAATGATTCACTGAATGGCAAACTGCACGAACTATTGGAGTCAAACCGGGAGGCCCGACAGGAGTTCAAGGCCCAACAGCTGCAGACCCCGGAGGAGCAGCTTTGTCCTGCAGAGGGGGACGAGTCCTCCAGCAAGGAAGACTTGGACAAGGAGGATTGAAAATGTATGATGAGGAGGGCTAAGCTCAGCCAAATACAGGGATGTAAATATTTATGAAAGCATCTTACTTCTGTCTTATCGACTACCTGGATCTGATCTCTTCAGCAGATGTCCATATTGTTTTCCTCCTTTATTGAACTGTGGTGTTTGCTTCCACAACTGATCTTAGAGTGACCTCTAGCAGCTTCTTATACAAGTTGTAAACTGCAGTGACCTGGGAATATAACTGTAAAATCTCCTGCGTTGATGTTTAAAAAGCTAATCAGGCCTAAGTGGGACATATTGAGAACAATTCTAAAGCCAGGATGACATAAGAACTTTATTAAAAAGCTGATTCATTTTTTATTTTAACAATACAACACGCTGATCTATACAATGACTTGCTCAATGTTTCAGGATTTGTCCACGTGAAGTGTTGATCCAGTTGTGTAGTCAGCTTTCTGAAATGGTATGTTCCTGTCCCAAAAAGTAAATATGCAAAGATCAAATGTCTACCAGTTTGATATAGAGTTGTATCTGCAGCATGACTGTAAATGTGCTGTCCTGTTTGTGTTAGGATAAGTCAGCTAACAAGTGTTTGTATAAGTGAAGTGATCACAAAAGTTAAAATAAAGTCGACCAAGTGTGGGAATTGTCAGACATTTTAATAGAAATTAAAATGAACCCCCCCAACAGAAAACAAAAATCCCCAAATCCATAACTTCCAGCAGTTAGAAAACATCCCGTTTATTCACCTCCATTTAGTCAGTAGCTGAATAAAAATACAATAAGAAACATACAGCTTTGTCTGAAATTATCTTTTACGTCCTTTTCTCTCTTCCGTTCTGAGCTTCACTTCTTCATCATAAGTACGTGTCATGTGACAGTCACCACCAAGACTACAATAGTTGCTACATGCGTCAGCAAACCACTTGTGTGCTTCAAAATATCCTTCTCCGATGTGGACGATGAAATGTTTCCAGAACGCCACACTAGTCCTCAAACCTTGTGACTGCTGAAATGCTGGAACCAAAGTTACACATTTGTATGATCATGGGATGGTCTACTGTGTGACTGCTACTCAGTCCGTTTGTTAAATTAAATAGAAACACTTTCCTCCTCACAATAACTGTGGTTTCTTCTGTCCAGTGTATAGCAAACACAAATATCTTAGAAAATCAATGCAATGATAAATTAGAGGAAAATGAGCAACTACCACTAACAGCATTGTAAGACAATGGAAAACACTTTTTTTCTGAATGCAGGCACACTCTACTATCCATTCTACGCTTTTATCGTTATGAATTATGAGTTAGAAGACTGATTTGTGGGTCAATCTTTAATACCCAGCAGCATATGTCTAAACCGACAAGCTTTCAAATATCCAAATGAGCAGATAGTGCAGACTTTTGTGTTTAGAGCCTGTTGAATCCCAACACATTTTAAACACGTTATTAAGAAAAAAATATGTCTCAATACTCCATCTAAAAGTACCCTGTTTAACACTTTAGTTTGAAAAACAAAAGACGTTATTCGCTCAAACACTTACATTGCTTACATTCTCCTTTCAGCTCTCTATAAGCATGTGCCATTATTGAACATGTCTCCACTTGTACGTTATATTAAAATAACAATCACTCTTCTAGCTAGCTTAATAATGAGCAAAAACAATATCCTGATCCTTGAGCACAGCAGGGTGGAAAATTAACGTTTTGGAGGGACTACCAGCCTATTTGGGTACTTGAACGCAGCATAATTATAAAAAGCCTAGATGCTGTTCATTTAGGGGTCATAAGCAATTACAGTGATTTTAATAAATAGTTCTGGAAGATGGGGTAATTGCTCTTTTAAGCAGATGTCAAATGCAGATCTACTTGTTTGGGAAATGCATGTAATACTTTACATTAAAAAACTGTCTAGGTATATATACTATACGCTTTTATCAGTGTCTCAATCCCATTCTACTTGTTAACAGTCAATTCATTGCAGTATAGTTCACTTGTGGCTCTGTGTGGTTGTACTTCAGCTGAAGACATATGGTAAAAGGTCATAAATTACATTTGACACAAGATAAGATTTGTACCTGATGATGGAACGAGATGAAATTTAGGGACCGCTAAAGTTACTACAATTTAAATACACTTTTAGTTTACTTGGGGGGTTCACAAAGCGTCTTTTTTTTTTACCACCTGTGTGCAAGTGACTTTTTGAGTTAACTACACATTGCAATAAACATGCCGAAAATGCTTTGATTTTAGTATGAAGGAAGAAATTGGGACAGAATGGTATCAAGTTGATGGTTTTTGTAGAAGAAGCTTCTCTTTATAAGGAAAACAGTTTGATCTGAACTACAATGACCTAATGTGTATTGCTGTAATGTAATGGTGAGGCTAGAGATGATGCGACATCATTCTTTGACCACGAGCCAACATTTGGACCCACTGGTTTAACATGTATGCTATAGCTGTCAGGTGTTAATTTCCCACCCCGGGAGAGCATCACATGGGAAGTCATGTTCCACCAATATTATCAATCTTCCTACATGTGTGTGGTAAATTCAGACTTTCCGACATGGAGAGAAGCGGGGCTGCTCACACCTTGGTCTCAGTTTCATGAAAGCACCTCATCACATACGGACACATCCGGTCAGTATCAGGTTACATTTCTGCCAGGTTCCACTCTTTCCCCACCTCCTCTCTGACTCAGCGTCTGTTTGTGGCCCTCCCCGTCTTGCGTTTGGGTTTAGCTTTTGCCTTCTTTTTCCCTGGGACAGCAGGAACCTCCATCTCTTCCTCCATCTCTTCCTCCATCACTTCCTCCATCTCTTCCTCCTCCTCCTCTTCCTCCTCCTTCTCCTCCTCCTTCTCCTCCTCCTCTTCTTCTTCTTTAATAGCAACTGGCTCCTCTCCGCTGGCAGCAGGAGGCTCAACTGGCCCCTCCATATCTACAGAGTCCTGGGATGTTGTTGTCTCTTCTCCTTTCGTTGTCTCTTCTCCTTTCGTTGTCTCTTCTTCTTTCAGTTGGAGGCGGAGCTCTTGGTCTGTGCTGTCAGTGCTGGTGGCTGAGGTGCTGACAACGTGCTGTGAGGTTGGTTCTGCTTCTTCCTCCTCCTGTTGCTGGGTTTCTGGGTTTGTCAGTAAAACAGAGTTTTCCTCAGAGGGGGAGGTTTCCTCAGAGGGGGAGGTTTCCTCAGAACAGACTGTGGGGGTCTCGGTCACAGGAGGCCTGAGGCTGTCTGCAGCGGGGAGACACTCTCTGGAAGATTCAACAGCGTCGCTCTTCAAATCTCGGTACCCCTGAGAAGACGAAGCATGAATATATGTTACAAATACAGAAGGACATTCTCCAAGGGAAACACACGTTAATGCACATCTCTTTACATGCAGTAAACCCTCGAAGAAATACTGGGATTGAAGTTGCCGTTCAACAATCTGTGACACAAAACTATTCACACAAAAAACCACAAACATGAATACTATAGTTAGTAGAAACAAGTAGATCAACAATAGCTTGTGCCAGAGATAATCAGTTATAATCTTTTTTAAGTAAAAACCAAGGTGAGTAAAAGAATGGAAAGACCAACCTTGAGCTTCTCAAAGTGCTTCATTGATTTGCAGTGAGTGTGCAGGGCAGAGGATTCAAAGTGGTAGAACTTGTTGCAGAGTCTGCAGATAAAACCTGCGACTGGAACAAAAAAACTGGACCCTGCAGTAAAAGAAACCAAATAATTAACATCGCCTGAATGTTATCGGTAAATCCAAACAATAACGCGTACAAAGGTCACTTCAAAGGACTCACCATAGACTGTGTCAGCGTCATACTGCTCGTCACTGGCCATGTCCTTCAGAGTCACTTCTTTAACGGAGGAACAGTCATCCTGTCACAGTAAACAAGTATAGTTTAACAAACTACAGGGTCCTTATAGTGCAATTTGAGATCCTAAGAGAATGTGGTCCGAAAACAAGAAAAACATAAAAGCAAATCACCTGTTCGTTCATCTGTTTATCCTCTTCCTCCTCCTCCTCCTCCTCCTCCTCCACCTCCTCGCCATCCACCTCCTCCAATGAGAAGCCCTCTGTGTCCAGCTCCGTCAGCTTGCCTAAGGCCTCGCAGCCTTCCTGTTCCTGGAGCTAGTGAACAGTAGCGAGTACAGCATTAATATTTCAATCTGGGAAATACTAGCTTGTTGTTAAAACGTTTTGAAATCATTATAAAACACAGATACCTCCTCCACTTTCCGTCTGTGATCCTGAGACCGCAAGTGCTCCACAAAAATCTGGGAGGTCCTGAAACGTTTCTTGCAGACGGTGCAGGAGGAGATGACGGCTCTGCTGGCAAGCTGAGGAGAGATGAAGGGACGACAGGACATTAATGATTCTTTACATTTGAAAACAACCAGGAAAGCAGTTTGAACCATTTTGATAAAGAGATGTGCTTATCTATAACGTAAGCAGGGTTACTTTGTGTTCCTCGGTGCGACGGTGCTCTGTGAGGCTACTGGTGAAGTGGGTGTGACAGGTGGCACACCAATGCTTCAAGTCAGACCTCTTCTCTCTGCAGAAAATAAAGACAAACAATATTCATAAATCTATTCATGAAAATGACAAGCTAGGAAAAAGACCCCGTTGAAGGAGACAATCAAAAAGGTGCCGACTCGTCTCTCTTATCTTTTGACTTGACACAAAACAAATGCATACTGCTTTAAACTGACCCGTCTTTAATTGCTTCCTGTAGGGACTCGTGCACTCGTGGCATCAGGGTGACCAGGCAGGCATTGCTCATGTGTTGGATCTCCATCATCCTCTGCTGGTGCGAAACACTGTTCATATGACTCTTGAAGTTCTGAAAAAAAACACAACAACATTAGAAGATAATAGTTTATGAGATAACATGCATTATACGTTTCCCGCAACCTTTCAGACTAGATAACCAAGGCCTATGTATGTGAATGTGTGCGTCCATTCAACATACTTGCTGGTTGTGGCAGGTAATGCTGCAAAGGTAGCAGTAGAACTTATTGGTGCCATCTGCTACACCCTCCTCTTCCTCCTGGTTGTCTGCTGAAGCTAAAGAGGCGTCTTTCCCCTCTGAGAGGAAATCCCCCTGCTGGTCCTCTTCACTCAGCCTGCCTGGTGGGGACGTAGCTGACAAATGGCTGTGCTCCTACAGAGAGGTTCAAACCAGAACTAAACCCAGTGTCCCAAAGTATTTATGTAACTGAGGCGATAAACAGGAGGTCATCAGATAGTGGTAGCCAGCATTGAGCACCACATGACCCACCTAGCGTTTGCAATAGTGATTTAGCTAATTCAAAATAGATTATTTAGCGTTCAAATTACTTTGTCTATGCCAAATAAAGACTCCTCACCTCAGTAGCTCTGCTCTCCTCCAGTGCCTCAACAACATCCGACCCCCCAGGGGAGCCTCCTTCCTCCATAAGGATGCAGTCTGGGAAAAGGGGGTAAAAAAGCAAAAATCGAAGTTATCATCTCAACTGACCTAAACTACAGTAACATTAAATGACTGCTCAGTTAAATAAAAGTAGAGTATTTAACCATCTACTCAATGTTTCTGGGGGTTTTACCTCCAGGCTGGCTGTCCTCTGTGTTGCTGTTACTATCTGAAAACAGAATATCCCCATCTGTATCTGCGATGGTGATCGTCTCAACACCACAGTGCTCCTTGGGATTCTCTGACCTGCAGTGAAAATAACAAGATTTAACGATGGAACAAATAACAAATCTTTAGGTTGGAGTAAAGTCCTTCCATGATCCATATTTCGGCTGGGTATTCTTGCTGCCTCCATGGATAAGACATTAACACAGTGGCAATTCAAAACATTTTCCATACCCATCTGTCCTCTGCTTCTTGACTACAGGTTCTTCAAGTTGCTCCTCAGACGACTGCGTTGGTTCATCCACTCCTCCCACGGCACCATCTGTGCGACAAAAAACAAAGTTGGAAACAGTCACAAAGAACATTTTCAAACAAATGCTCACCATTTAACTTCTTCATAAAGTCTCACATGACATTGAACACACCCATCACCTTAAACCTTAAGCATGTTTCAGTGCTGGTGATTTGCAGCTCTACCTGTTTCAGTCTTGTCCCCGGCTTCATTGGTACTGCTAGCTGCTGGTTGGTCGTCTGTGCTCCCTGAGGCCATCTGCTCGCTGTCCCTCTTCCTGTCAGGCTGACGGGCTGCAGTGTCCTACACAAGAGAGACCACGATAGGATCACAAATATACAACAAAGTCTGAGATAACATTGCAGCTATGAAACAAAGGTGTCTCATAGCACAAATCACTGACAACAAATGATTGTGTTTGAATTGAGTAATGTTGTTCAAATACACTTTTGTGTCCAATCAACTGTCCAAACCCCATGGCTATTTCGTATACCATCGTAAAAGAACTGTAAATATTTTCATTTTTTAGCTGAAACGTATTAATTGTTCTGCATTTATGCTCAAAAACTACCAATGTAATTACTATCACTTGATAAATAACATATACAAAATAATGGAGAATAATTCTCTAACCATAAACACATTGATTAATCATTTCAGCTCTACTATCAATATCAAATAAAATATACAAAATAACCACATGATTGCATTTGGGTCAAATATGACTTAATTACAATGAAAGCATTAGCTGAAGTTATAAACACATGATTTGATGCTTGCTGCATCAGTTCTTATATTAACAGATGTTTACTTGTTCTGACTAGTCTAAAGTCAGACCTAAATTAAAGTTGTCAATAATGTCATAATCATAATGGTGCTTTTGTAATTACCGCAGTAGTGGTGGAAGTAGTGGTGGAAGAGAAGGACGAAGAGGCTGTGGTGGGGGTGTTGTTGTTGTTGTTGTTGTAGTAGCGAGCGTGCTGGTGGTACTGTCGGGGAGCTGGGTAACCCATCATGGGGGACTTCATGGCCATGCCCATGGGGACCGGGCCGAGCAGAGAGTTCCTGGACCCGGCAGTGAAGAACTGACGGAACTGCTGTCTAGCCATCCCAAAGCCCCGCATGCTACCTGAACGAGCATGAAAAGAGACGCATTCGTAAGAAAAGACGCACATTTAAACACCTTGGAAGCTGGTTTTCCAATGCTTCTAAACACATTGTCTGTGTAAATGTCCAACTAATATGTGCCTGTTCTTTATGATTTCCAGTTGTCTTTTAACTTGAATTCAAAGTGTACCCTGCATCTGCTGCATCAGTAGGGCCCCCTGCAGCATGGGATTAGGGGCCATGGACCCCTGGCCCATGTTGACCATCCTGGGAGGAGGGGCTGACTGCTGAGCGCCAGGAAGGGATCTGCGCAACAAATACACATGAGTAAATAAACATAGAGCATCATTTCAAGTACATTTGCAGATATATGTTTTATTCAAATGATTCATCAAACCTGGAAATGTATTTTACACATCAGATATAACACGGACAAAGCTGCACACAAGCTGATAATGTTCATTCTCATGATTATGATTGTTGTGTGAAAGTGTGGCGCAGCTCAGATATGGATTAGCCTTTATCAAAGATCTTTCTATATCTGCTCTGGCTCAGATTCTATTTCAGGTTTTATTATATTTTTTTATAGCAGAAATTACAAGGCAATTTACAATAAGCTTTATAAATTATATGTGTATTTGTCATTACATTTAACAAAAAGTACCTAATGCAATAATTTACTGTTGAATGAATAAGTATACAAATATTTGGTTTTCTTAAATAACAATAAGGAGGCTATAAATTATAAAAGGCAATGAACAAATATTAGGAAGGTATCATGGAATGGCAGAATGGGAATATTTAAATGAAAGCTGGTACAGTATATAGAGTATGAAGGGACAATATGCTTTTTCTCATCCTCAGAATAAAATAAAAGGGACCAGCTGACCTGAGGATTAAAGATAAGAGTGACAAAAGCCAAAATGCCCACAGCGTATTTTATGGTTTTATCATAAGTGAAGATAATAAATGCCAGTAATCCTGCAATTAAAAGTGTTTCATATAATGTGCAGTTTATCAACACTACTTTTGAGAAGGCCAGATAACAGGCCTTTGCCAACTCTTAATACCTGATACAGAAAGATGGTGATTTGGTTGGAGTTAGAAGTTCTCGTTGGTCACAATAACAAAACAAACTTTTTAGAAAAGTATGCCAGTGCTGCAAGATTGGGACTGATATACATAATATGGCATAGCTGATTTTCTATCAACTAAATGTACTTCATAATAAATAACATAACATATCCTACCTGGATTAAATGCCCCAACAACAAATAACCAGAGGTGGGAGAAGTATTCAGATCTTGTACTCAAGTAAAAGAGTTTAGGAATACTCTGTTACAGGTAAAAGTCCTGCATTAACTCACAGATACTCACAAAAGTATAAGCATAAAGATATACTTAAATTACCAAAAGTACTCATTATACAGATCAGAATAATATATGATATGTTTTGAATGCTGCACAATAGCTTGTGAATGTTAATCCAGGTGTAACTAAAGTCTTATTTAAGTGTTGTTTATATTCCAAATCATTAATCCAAATGTGCAAAGTAACTAAAGATATGAAATAAAAGTAATGGAGTAAAAGTACACTATTTACCTCTTGTAATAATTGTAGTCAGGTAGAAGACATTTCAAAAAATTGAAATACTCAAGTAAAGTACAAGAAAATTGTACTTAAATACATGTATTTAGTTACTTTACACCACTGCAAATAATTATGTATATAGACAGGCTTTACACATATTCAATTTAAAATATATACTGCCCACAGTGGGGCTTGTGTTGTGGTTTAAGTGTTAGCCACCGCCAGTCCCACATACCTCATCCAGAGGGCCCTGCCTAATCACCGGGCTCGAGTTAACTCTTACCGCTGTGCCTGGTGGTGGTGATGGGCGACATGATGCCGAGGAGGCGGCTGTGGCGGAGGGGGAGGTGGAGGCTGCTGCTGGAAAAGTTGTTGTAGCTGCCGCAGGTGCTGGTGAAATTGTTGCTGCTGCTGCTGCTGCTGTTGCTGCTGCTGGTGGTGGTGCGGATTGAACATAACGGGCTTTAATTTCCTCCGTTGATGTTACACAATGTAAAGACCACCAGCGGTAAGGTGACACTGTTTTAAAAACCCTCAAGAGGAGGTGTCTCTGAATGGAGAGAGAGAACAAAGTTGTGTCATTATCTGTCCCGTTGTCTTTGTTGTACAGACGCATTCAATAACAGTGCGCACCTCCTGAGACAGCGAGTCGCTCTCATATTTCGAGATGACAACTAGCTAGCACTAGTCTAGCATGTAAGCTAACAACAATTTTATTTTTTTGGTTTGCATGGTTTATTTATAATTCCTTCACCTTGTTAGCTAACATCATAACGGGAACCGTGATTTTTTAGAAGAGAGCAACATGTTATTCAATAACGAACACAAAATAATGTTAGAAAAAAATGAACAAGCTACACCTGCTATGAAACAAACGAAGCTAGCTACATTAGCCACCGCACAGTGACTGAACACAACAAGTTAGCTTAGCTTAGCTTAGCTTCAAAATAGCTAGCAAACTTACGGATAAAAACACAGCGGCTTCAGGGGTACTATCTACATATTACTATAGCAACAGTTGTAACGACTTACATCTCACAGAGGAAAGCAGCGATGTATTGTTGATAATCCAACTAAAATAATAGCAGAGAGTTTAATTCTTTCTCTCAGTCCCGGGTACAACTCGCATAAGGCAGCGAACCGTCTTCAGTGTGGTGAGGTTACAACATGGTGTTGCCCCCTGGTGGCTGTCTGGAGAGCTGGAAATAATATGCTCACATCATAAAATAGCTTTAGATAATGTAGCTATTTATGATTATAATGAAAAAGTTAGTGATTACATTCAAAATCACAGTGGCCTCTTTAATTAAATATCTTTATACGTTTTTAAGCTTTTGCATTTTACACTTGAAACACTAGCTAAATGTAAATAATTCATAAAAGTGGAACATCATTTTACACTAGCATCCACCGGAAATTATGGAAATAAAAATAAATCATGTTGAAACAAACACTGCATTGTAAATACATTATATACACCAGTAAACAATGGGCTACATTATAGTATATGTATATGATAATATTATTGTAGGCTATAGTTTGTGTCGATTGTAGGCTATGTTGTACACATTTAAAAACACTATATACCTGCATTTACAAATGTTTTCAATTGTATTTATTTGGTATTCATACTTTAGTACATACACCATATTTGCATGCTTTATTTTTTACATTAGATAAGAAGTTGTAGCCCCCTGGCCTCTGTCCAGGGTTCTAACAGATTCAGCGCCATGGACAGATCTATAAGTCGGCAAAAACATTGCAACTATACGTAAAATGTCCCACCTTCAACTTGCAAAAAACAGTCAAACAAGATTTAACTTTAGAGAAAAAGATAAACAAGACATCCCTTTACTGTAAACAGCACAGTTTGACAGACAACTACAGTGAGAGTAAACCAGTGTCACCACCAAGCGGTGTGCATGGGGAACGGCAGGGATCTCTCCAGAGTCCTCATCCTCCCCCCTGCTGCGCTCGGTGGAGAGGAGTAGTGTACATGCTCGGTGGCGGAGATAGTCATATAGCTGAGGTGATCTGACACACCGAGGGGCTGCAGTCAATGAGGGGGATAACCAAAAAGTGATCCGGTGTGTGCGGAAAAAGTCCCTTGATACGCGAGGGTGGCGAGGAGGGACGAAGAGGAAAATAAGAGATTAATCCCTCCCTGCTCTGACAAGGAAGATAGACTGCCCATTGCATCGCAAAGATGGGGAACCAGGGGATGGAGGATTTGATTCCTCTGGTGAACCGCATGCAGGATGCCTTCTCCTCCATCGGGCAGAACGCGGACCTGGACCTGCCGCAGATCGCTGTGGTGGGCGGCCAGAGTGCAGGGAAGAGCTCGGTGCTGGAGAACTTCGTCGGGAGGTAAGTAGCTTTTCCAGGAAATGCATGTTGGTGCATCACACAAGCGGACGCAATCGCTTTCATTTTTTCCCCCACTTAACCCCGTCCCCATCCCCCCTCTGAGGCAGCTTTGAATACACCTCCCAGCCTTGGTTAAAAGGTATACATGGTGGCACCTTTCACCAGTTGTATCCCTCTTTCACAACACCAAGGCGAGGAGATTATTTTGTTAGGCCAACATAAATCCCTGATGAAGTGAATCTGATGCATTCAGGGATCCACACATTGCTGTTGAAATGACGTTGCATTCAACATCAAACCATAAGTGATTTAAGTGTGACATTTTCTAAGTGGGTTTCTAAACTCTATAACTTGGTCCAAAATGTCACACATTTGCACAGTTTATCAATACAAACCTTATGACATCAGTCACAGGGGCAGGGGCAGCTTTTACGCTGACTTCCTACACACAATTACAGGCAGCTTGATGGATGTGTTGTTTGTTTTCTGTGGCAGGGCTACCATTTTGATGTCCGAATCAGGACCTGCAGGCAAGAGGCAACACAGTTATTGCTGTGTGTGTGTGTGTGTGTGTGTGTGTGTGTGTGTGTGTGTGTGTGTGTGTGTGTGTGTGTGTGTGTGTGTGTGTGTGTGTGTGTGTGTGTGTGTGTGTGTGTGTGTGTGTGTGTGTGTGTGTGTGTGTGTGTGTGTGTGTGTGTGTGTGTGTGTGTGTGTGTGTGTGTGGAGAGAGGTTTCTCACTGTCAGAGCTACTGCTGATGCAAAACAAAATGAGGGGAACACATCTGATCTATATGCTGCAGTATGACCTTGCATATAAAGAGAGAGGGAGAGTCCACCTGGGCTTTGAGCCGTTGCAGCTCAGCTCATCCATCTGTCTGTCAGTGCTTATGCTGTAAGTGAAGCTTACTAAATGCAGGCAACAACATTGGTGTCACTACCTTACTGTTGTCAGCTCTCAATTGTGTTTCACTTGATCTGAAGATTTGTTGTGGTGTGTGTGTGTGTGTGTGTGTGTGTGTGTGTGTGTGTGTGTGTGTGTGTGTGTGTGTGTGTGTGTGTGTGTGTGTGTGTGTGTGTGTGTGTGTGTGTGTGTGTGTGTGTGTGTGTGTGTGTGTGTGTGTGTGTGTGTGTGTGTGTGTGTGTGTGTGTGTGTGTGTGTGTGTGTGTGTGTGTGTGTGTGTGTGTGTGTGTGTGTGTGTGTGTGTGTGTGTGATTCAGCAGTATTTCCTGCAAGGTCAGACTGTACTTCACTCTTTGGCTCCAAGCCAGTTCAGCACTACTTTGAAAAAGGCCTAACAAGAACAAAAACAAAATGTAATTTCAACTATTGGAGAGAGTCAACCTGTGCAGTAACTCACAATATTCACGTTCCCTCTTTTCTTACATTGGTTTCACAGTAGGTTCTGGAAGTTCCCCTGATGGCCAGAGTGCGTATCCCCATTGTAACAGCTCAGTAGACGAGGCATGGTCACTGTGTACCATAATAATTGTGAAAGGCCTACTTAAAAAGCAAACTTTACATTTGTAGAATATATGTTGACTATATATTTACAGCTCTTTTTGAAAGATTTTGCTCAAATATCAGTTAATCAATCGTTTTCCTTTTCCTTTTCTTTTAAGTAATTACTATTAAAAGCTCCACTTTACACTCATTAAGGGGGCTCAGCTGTAGTCATGGAAACAGCTTGAGTCTAATCACACTGCTTTACCCGAGGGACCGGGGATGCATCATGACAGAAGGTAGAGAGGGAAACATTTGAAATATTATTACAAGGACATTTATAAAGATGTCAACGGATTTGTTTGTGTGTGCCAGTAAAAGCTGCAGTCTGCATCCTGTCATGCAGCATGTATGTGTGTGTGTGTGTGTGTGTGTGTGTGTGTGTGTGTGTGTGGTGTGTGTGTGTGTGTGTGTGTGTGTGTGTGTGTGTGTGTGTGTGTGTGTGTGTGTGTGTGTGTGTGTGTGTGTGTGTGTGTGTGTGTGTGTGTGTGTGCGAGAGAGTGCGAGACTGTGTTATTGCATGCTCTCTCCTAGTCCAGCTGCAGTGACGTCGCTCAGGTCCTCCCATCCTCCTTCTCCCCCATTGTGTTTGTGTTATCTTCCCTCGCCCCCCACCCACTTACTACACGCTGTACTGTGTGTTTAGTTGCCACACTCGTTCTTCCCTCCATCTCTATCTTCCATAGATGCCTCTCAGACAGTCATTTCATGGGATGTTTCCAGCAAACCAGCTATCATCTTTGGCTACTATTAGGCTAATTGTTCTCCCTCTTAACAGTTCATATTGCTGCTATCGGTTAGCAAAGACAACCAATACAAAAGTATAGAAGACCTATACAAGAGACACATTAAGGAATATGAATAAGCGCTTGTTTGGGTTTCCTTTTATCACGTCATGCAAATTATAATACATAGGTTATATGGCTTTTACGGACACACTAGCAACTAGAGAATTTATTTAAAGGAGTTAGAAACCGCTGCTCCTTAGTTCACAATGACACGTTTCCTTATCATCTGGATTGCAGGTGTAAATCAGGGACAAGGACAGGTAAACAAGCTGAGGAGATACGCAGTGCCTGAGGTATGAGGGAGCATGTGAGGACGCTAAGTGTTTCTTCTCTGTCCTTCAGTTTTTCATCCTGCTTTCATAATTTGTCCTCAGAGAGAGTTTTCTGTTCTCTTTGTTTTCATCGCTCAGTTCTCTGTTTATCACCTCGGTTCAACTTCCCATTCTCAGGGTTTGTCTGCGTCATTCAGTTTAAGCGCTTTGTTGTTGTCTGAAAATTAAAGTGCTCCATTCCAAAGTAGAGGCAGCTAGGTTAAACTCAAATAACAGGGATACAGACACTCTCTTTTTGAGCAATTTACATCAAAGTCTGCCTTCACAAACAATTCAGTTCATTGCTTTATTGTTTTCCTTTCTCGTCTTACACAATAACATGTTTAGACATGTTTGGCTGTTTATCTAGGGATAACACTTTTTCTTCTATTTTTGGATGAAAAGCAGATTTTCATGTTTTGAACATTAAGAAAAGGTGATAGGGCAGTATATATCTTTTTAGGCTGCATATGGTGATTATTTTCATTACCGTTTCATCTTTCTTTTTTTTCCTATAACCATAACCAGTTAGTCTATAAAATGTAAAATAATGTAATCAGCAGCTGCCAGTTATAGAACAAATAATGACACAAAAGAAAAAATCAGTTGCTGTTAATAATAATGCTTGTCATTAAATCCTGTCATTTGACTTAAAGCAGCAATAAATCCATATCAAGATAGTTTAGTTTAATTGAATCAGCCATTAATACATTTCAGTTCCATGTTAAACACACAGGTTCAGCATCACTGAGCGGTCTTCCTCACCTTTGTCCCATATGCCTGCGTGTAATTCCACAGTTAAGAAGACATTTTCCAGCTTTGAGACTGAGCACAACCCGTTTCCCACCCTGGGTCGGTCACACAGTCTGTTAGCCTCCCACGAGTCTCATTATCAGAAACAAAGCGAGATGTTCCCGCTCTCCAGAGCCCGACACAGGCCGGGCCAGCTGGGGCAAACCTGTGTGCAGGTGAGGACGTTTGGTGACATGTTGACATTTGATTCAATTCAACATTATTACATGAACAGAGGCACATTGTATCTTAAAATAAGCGGTGAATTAAGCTGTCTTTTGGTGATGTGTGATTATAGAGGATAATTGCTTTTGCACATTCACGTTTTTGTACCTAATTTAAACTGCTAAATTATATCAAGCAGTGTGTTCAAACAAGTTTCAGTATGAAAATGGGCTGCATTTTTTTATTTTTCACATTTGGTTATGTTATTTGATTAAGTTAATATGCGATACAAACTAAAGTCACAAATCCACCTATAATACTGTCTAAAAAAGCATGGTGTATGTTCTTATTTTGGTCCTGAATGCACTTTTCAGCACCAAGGAGAGCTCTTCCAAAAACAGCTGATACTAAATCAGCATCAAAGTTGGGTTCACCCGTAAATAGAACGCATAGAACTTAACTTTCCTCTTAGAATAGGTTTTCATGTTTATTATTAATATGATCATGATAGCTTAAGGATACCCATGTTTATTGCCAGCATGTTGGATTACAGAAACAACAAGAGAAACCTTTTGTTGTTGTAACTCTCATTGTAAGCCCTGCATGAATCTTTTTGGCAATAATTACTTAAAGGGATGTGGGGTCAATAGCTGACATGCCGAAGGAGAATTGAGTCACATAATTTACGACGTTGTCCTGGGATGTCCTCAAACCCAGGAGGCTGCTGCTGCTGCTGCTGCTGCTGCTGCTGCTGCTGCTGCTGCTGCTGCTGCTGCTGCTGCTGCTGCTGCTGCTGCATGGTGCGCAGCTGATCCTAGTCAAGCACTTTTTTTTATCAGTGAAGACTGCAGGCACCAGCGCAAAGCAGAAACACACACACTTTTCTCTCCCTGCTGCCTGCCAGCACTATTCCAACCCCCACGCAGAGATTAAGTTAATGATATATAGCTGGTTTCATGAGTTACATAACACAGAGAGGGCCGGAAGCATCACGATGAGCAGCAGCAGCTTCCATCATAGGAAAGATGAGGACAGTACAGTGTCTTCATTGTTGTCAAATAAAAGGAGGGGGTAGTGATATAGAAACACAGGGAAGAAGAGCACTTTAATGATTTACAGATGATGATGCTGCGATTATATAAACTACCCAGCAGCATTTAAAAATTCCTGGTTTGTTCTTAAAAATAAATAAATGAGTCATTAAACAAATACATGACCCTGTACTGTGAACAGTGGTTAAACAGTCTCTTAACATTGTGTCCGATACTAATAGGGATGCAACCAGCAATTATTTTCATCATTGATTAATCTGCTGTTTTTTAAAATAATTGATCAATTGTTTGATCTTTATAATGGCAGAAAATAGTGAAAAATGGCCATCAAATTTAGCAAAAAGCCCAGCTGTACTGAGCTGTGTCTGAGCAACCCTTCAAACTAAAAGAGTTTGTTATCATCATCAGCATCAAATCCTTGCTGCTGAGAAGCTATAATTAGGTCATTCTAAGCTTTATTTATTTAAAAATGTTTAAATAAATATCAATTTTTGCAGGATCTTTTTCAGGATATAAGAAGTAAACTGCTACACCAAAAAAACAAGTTGCAGCTCTTAAAGTATTGATAAAAACATTGATGTAAACTATATTTGTCACATGTGAGAGGGAAATCAGTCAGGGAATGACAGACTTGTCCTGATACTGCTACAGAGGATTACCACTAATCTCTGTTTGGGCCATAGTTCACCTGCAAATCACTCTCCCATTGGCTCTGCTCTAATCTGGATGACCACCACCCAGCAACTGGCCATATCATTGGCTCCTTCTTCTACTGTGTCTGACAGCACTATGTGTGGTTGTGTGTGCCTGTGTGTGTTTGCGTGCGTAAATTCATCATCAGAAAACAGTCTCATCTTTCTAAAACCCAAATACCGGCAATAAACCCGTTTCTGATTCTGATTCTGACCAACAATACAGCTTGTTGAGTTTGTGTTGCATCATTTTGAAAGGTTAGATTTCACATCTCACTCCCTATTGGCCATTCCCTTGTTTTCTTTTAAAGCAAGTCACAGCATAACAAAAACACAAGAACATCCAACCAATCTGGAAATGGTGTGATATATTAAATGTATGTATGCATTTTAAAATAAATTAGAAATGGTAGATTTTACCATTCATGACTGTTCTGACATGACTTCAGCATTTTTATTAAACATGTATGGAACATTTCTTTTCACATGAAGCCTCATTGTACTGATGAAAAGGGAAGTGCTGAGAGAAAAGGTCATGATGTTCACACAATATGTGGTTATTGTTTGTACATCACTGAATAAGTACAGTTTGAAACAAAGAAGTTATGAGTCACTACTCCAAGCCTCTGTGTGTGTGTGTGTGTGTGTGTGTGTGTGTGTGTGTGTGTGTGTGTGTGTGTGTGTGTGTGTGTGTGTGTGTGTGTGTGTGTGTGTGTGTGTGTGTGTGTGTGTGTGTATTTTACCTGGCTGCGGCAGGGGCTTTCCCCATGACGAGAGGCAGTCACTAAAATGTTGCTGCACTTTTGAAAAAGCTTTATTTCTCATACCTTTTTTTTCACAATTTAAACATAAAACAGTTTCCAGCATTTTATCAACTGTGTGTATTTTGGCGAGTATCTGTCCAGGTGCACATGTGAGTGAATGCTCTCAGGCGTACTTTCACCTCTAGTGCGTGTGTGCTTGTGTGACCGGACTATTTCGAAATGTTCAGCTTGGATAGAATGACAGACTATGAGTGAATTAATGATTTAGTGGCTGAAAGTTTATTTTAAAAAAAAATCTCTGTTTGACATTGATCTGTGGGTAACACAAGACGCTAAAAGAAATCAATGAAATTAATCTGATCGGGGCTCGGCTACGACTCTCTAAAAGTGATGCTCAGCGTTTCTGTGACCTCCCCGACCCACAGTATTGATTATTCAAAATCCTTTAAGAAACTGTTAATGGGTCAAATAACCAGGCAGTGTGCATTTTTGTTTTATCTGATTAATTCAAATTTGACAAATCAATATAGTGCACCACATTCATTTAAAGAAAAAAAAGAATACCCCCATATATATTACATGATAACCTAAACTATAATACATTGGCAAAATATCTGTTTATGTTGTCATGGTATGAATAATTAACAATATTATAGATGGACAAAGTGGGTAAATGTTGTTTCTGTACTGTGTGCACTTAAAGGTAAGTGCTTGTTGAAGGTATCTTGTTTTGACCTTAACTTCTCTATGCCGTCTATCCTCTCTCTCCCTGTAGCAACACATCATTAATATCAGTTTAGTTTATTTCCCAGTTTACTCCTTTTTTATTTGTTCTTTTATTCTTCTCCTGTGTATCTGTGGGTAGGGCAGGTGGGTTGTCTCTGAGCTTTTGGCAGTCATGTAAGTGTGAGTGTTTTCATCTTCACTTCACTGTGGGCGGGGCGGGGGGGGGGACACAGAGAGACTGTCCCGCTCTCAGCAGGATGAGGTAAAAGATGAGTAAACAGAGAGAGACAATCTTTCCCATACTGTAGCAGTGTGTGTAGGTGTGTGTTTGTGTGAAAAACGGATTATGTCGGTGGCTTCTCCTCTCTTTTTGGAGCATCTTTGTGATGGCAGTCTGAGGGGAGGATGAGGAGGAGTAAAGTGAGAAGAAGACCTGCAGTTAGAGCCATCTGTCTTCTCTAAAGGGTTTCCAAATACACACAATCTTACTTACACTGGCAGGCAGGTAGAGCAGCAGATGGACACACACACACATCAGAGTTTCCTTTGTTGTATCAAGCCTCTTTATAACAACAATCACTGACATCATAATGAAGCTCACTGCTGCTGTGTTGTTCAGTGTAGCAGCTGTAGAGGATTGGCAAACATTAGCAATGATGTCTTTTCATAATTTCACTTTCCAACAAAGCGCAGGTGGGAAAGGATTAGGAAAGGCTCATCTGCAGAACTTGTGATTAAAACACTCACAGAAATGTTAACTTTGATGGCTTTAAGCAATCTTTTGTCACCTTGAGCATTTGAGTTGTTTGAATTCGAATGATTTTATAGTCTATTGATTTGATCATTGCCAATAGACTCACATGTTTATACAGTATGTTGATCCCTCTCAAAGTATGACTAAATAAATGCCAGAAATGTACATTTAGGGTAGTCGGACAGCAGAGTTGATTGGAACGTTTCAGGTATAACCGTAAAATGTATGGTGTTACTAGTTGTATACAGTGGTTATGCTATGCTAACTCACTTATGGTTCCAGCTTCATACAATTTGATCTTCTCCTGTCACTCTTAGCATTTACCAAAATATTCATTTAAAGCTAGAGTACAATGTATGTATTATTACTAACAATTATTTACAATATACACTCAGAGAATGATCTAATAACATTAAATAATAGTAGTGCCTTTCTCTGGTTTAGGTCACATTTAGAGCAAAAGCAGTTCAGCTCATGACTCATGTATCCCAACTGCCTCAGGCTTTGCTTCAGGTCCAAACAGAGGCCTCATCTATTTCGTGGACATGGAACTCAGATAACAAAGTATGTTTTATTTCAAAGAAACTTTAAAATACTCTCATGCTGACAATATAAGATGGAAAACTACAGTAAGCCCCTTGTTATAGCCCCCTTTTCTTTTTTTTATCGTTCTATGTACAATAAAATAGCAGAACACCAAAAAGGACATTAAGTCTGTTGGGACCAGAGCTGTTGTGTGAGTGTTTGTTGTTATTTAGCACTGCACACACAAACACGCATTTACACTTACTTCTGGTCTGCACTTTGCTCACATTTCCTCACGATGCTGATTCATTATCACTGACTCATGTTCCGCTGAGTTTCTGACATGTTGTGAGTCATATTGTTGTCTCTTGTATTGTTGTTTGTTTAACTGACTATCTTCCCCTCTGTCTGTGTTACAGGGATTTCCTCCCCCGTGGTTCTGGCATTGTGACTCGTCGTCCTTTAGTTCTGCAGCTCATGACCTCCCCCACAGGTAAAAACATCTAACCCATAATACATCTGAGGGTTCTTTGTTCTGTCAGTGATGTGTTCATCGTGTATACATGGGTATGTGTTTGTATTTTCCTGGGTGGGCCATAGACAACTTGTTCCTGCCGCGGTTTGAGAATAAAAGGGTCTTCTAAATCAAACATTTGAAACAACTTTTATTTTACAGTAAGCTCCTATTAGGGTTCTTGTCAGCATATTGTGGGCATTAAGCAAAGCAATTCGGCACTGGTTTTAACATGAAAAAACCTTTTAGAAACATTTAGCTTTTAGTTCACACTGTTGCAAACCTTCTCTCTTGCCTCAGGACTTAAAAAAGCCTTCCTCCTCCACACTTCTCAAGGGATAAACTTCCTTTGGCATCTTTTCCTCTTCATTTATTTCTACAAACTTAAGAGTAATGCAACATCCTCCTGTTACCATGGTTACACTTCATTAGATTGTTGCAAGGTCTGCTAATAAGCTTATCCTTTCAGCCTGTTCAGAAAGAGTAAATCATAAAATATACAAATTGTATTTAAATACACGCTTTTGGCTGCTGTATGATCGTCTGCCAGTAGATTTTAAACTGTGACAAGGCTCACAGAGGCAACATATTCTAAAGCTCAGTCCCATTTGCTGCAATTTGCATCAAAATGAGTTTTTCTCAATGAATCTCACTGAAATCACAAACACTCCTTTCCTTTTTTACAATTGCACTTTTAATGATTTCTCCTATTTTACCTTATATTGCAGAATATGCTGAGTTCCTCCACTGTAAGGGCAAAAAGTTCACAGACTTTGACGAGGTGCGGCAGGAGATCGAGGCAGAGACTGACCGCATAACAGGGGCCAACAAGGGCATCTCCCCGGTGCCCATCAACCTGCGGGTCTACTCCCCTCATGGTGAGAGACGCAAAAATCTATTTCTTTTTTTTGAAATTATTTTCTTATTCAGCTTTTCACATGTATACAGTCATAGATAATACAATATTCTCTGTAAGCCTTCTGTAGTTAACAGTGAAATCACAAATCAAACATACATAGATGTGGATAATACAGAGGCAGGCCTCACTGACCTTCAAACATGCTATAACATACAGTATGAACATAAACACGAACAAGGCTATGGGGGTGTACCTGCAACTTATTCAAACAAGGGGGCCATAGAAAAAAAAATACTAAAAACAAAAATCCCTTCTAGACAAATGATGGTCGTATTGGTGTAACATATATTATCGATTTTTCACATCTTGACAAAAAGATTCCCTGTAGCAATCTCAAAGCAAGGGTTATCCTTTCCATCTTGAAAATATCATAAACATGTCAATGCCAAAACATGTCAATCCACTCATCCAAAGTAAGTTTTCCTGGTTTTAACCACATTGATGGCCTTCTTGCAAGCAGCACTCAGGATCCAAAATAGATATGTATCTTTAGAGGAAACAATTGCTGGTGGTAAAGCACCCAAACATAACGATTCAAATGTAAATGGAATGTCTATCTGAAAAACCTTTTGTAAAACTCCATGAACCTGCTGCCAGAAAGGATTCAATGATGTGCAAGACCACACAACTCTATTTCTTCACAGATTTGGGCTGACTTGTCTTGCATGTGGGATCATCAATCATTTATGTACCACCAAGCTTTTTATTTGGCAACAATCTGCATCTGAAGAAGCTCTTGTAGTTCTCTTATCTTCGTCCTGTTCTCTTCTCCCCTCACAGTGCTGAACCTGACCCTGGTGGACCTGCCGGGGATGACCAAAGTGCCGGTGGGCGACCAACCTGCAGACATCGAGGCGCAGATCAGAGAGATGCTGATGCAGTTTGTCACCAAGGACAACTGCCTGATGCTGGCCGTCTCCCCGGCAAACTCTGATCTGGCCAATTCTGACGCTTTAAAGATTGCCAAAGAGGTCGACCCTCAGGGTGAGTGTATGCACACACACACACACACACACACACACACACACACACACACACACACACACACACACACACACACACACACACACACACACACACACACACACACACACACACACACACACACACACACACACACACACACACACATGTTTACATTATGTGCACATTATGTGCTAACTGCCAAAGGCTAAAGTAGAGTAGGGTCACACAACTCAGTCTTCATCTGAACTTTAAGTGGTTTTTTTTCTGTGTTTTACAAATAAATGCTTTTTATCAGTATAAGAGTAAACAAAAAGTGTCCAACTTGTCCACTGTAGTGATACAATGCTGTCTTAATATGTAATCATGACATGTCATTTATTGAAAAAAATACTTTTTCATAAGAATATTCATTCAAAACAACGCTTCAGAAACACTTCTTACATAACACCTATTGTGCAGGACCTTCGCTTGTACTTAGTATCGTAAGTATTTCTATCTTGTGATATCTTTTCATTTTCTTAAGGAAATATGTAAATATGCGAATGCTAAAACAACTATTGGTGCACATCATGCATTACGGCATACCAATTATTTTCAGTTTATTTTTTAGATCCAATTTCAGATTTGGTTTGCTATAATTGAGCTGGTGTGTGTGTGTGTGTGTGTGTGTGTGTGTGTGTGTGTGTGTGTGTGTGTGTGTGTGTGTGTGTGTGTGTGTGTGTGTGTGTGTGTGTGTGTGTGTGTGTGTGTGTGTGTGTGTGTGTGTGTGGTGTGTGTGTGTGTGTGTGTGTGTGTGTGTGTGTGTGTGTGTGTGTGTGTGTGTGTGTGTGTGTGTGTGTGTGTAGGTATGAGGACCATTGGTGTGATCACAAAGCTGGACCTGATGGACGAGGGGACAGACGCAAAGGAAATCCTGGAAAATAAGCATCTCCCACTCAGGAGGGGTGAGCGCACACACACTTCACACGCATCACTTCCTTTTGAAAGACCGACCAATCAAATTCATTCCATTGATTTATTTTAGCTTCTTGTGTTACCCACAGATCCGTTTCAGACAGAAATATTCATTAAATAAACGTTCAGCCACTGAATCATTCATTTATACAAACACACACACACACACACACACACACACACACACACACACACACACACACACACACACACACACACACACTTTTTTCTTCTCTTTTTAGGGCCCTCACAAACACTCTGTTTCCCTCTTGTGGTAGTAAGGAAGTCCTACAAAAAAATGTTCAAAACCCAACAAAAAAAATACAGAAAAACTGCAGATGGATGTAAGGAGGGGGTTATGATGAAAACATTACTGAGTGTGAAATGAAAAGACAGAGAGAGAAATGTGGAAGAGGGAAAAAGCAGTTAAGAGAAAAACAGTGTATGTAGGAGCTGGCGTGTGTTTTGCGGGCTGCCCTTTATTGCTATGTGCTGATGCGGTACTTTTCTTTTCCGTTTGCACTTGGTTAGGACCCAGGCATGTGCTTTGGAATATTTTCCATGTCTTTTGTTTTTTTATATGCCCCCCCCCTCTTTCTTTTGCTCCCCGTCTCTCTCTGTCTAATCTGGATGTTCACATTTTACAAGGCTGCTGGCTCACAGTTGCATTTGTTATGGAGCATGAAACAGCCTTTAAGCGAGTGATGCATGAGAAAACTTAACTGGAGGTGAAATAGGATCGGCGTGAACTCTCCTCTCACTTTTTATTCTTTCTGTCTTTAAAACTGGACACACACAAAGAGACATTTATCCATCCTCCCTTCCTTCCTATCCTCTAATCATACCGTCACTTTATTCTTTTCTTGAATCCAATGTCCTCTGAAATGTTTTTAAAATCAATCAATCAATCAATGTTTATTTATATAGCCCAATATCACAAATGCTACATTTGTCTCAGTGGTCTTCACAGTTTGTACAGAATATCAGTATGACAATACGACACCCTCTGTCCTTAGACCCTCACATCGTACAAGGAAAAACTTCCAGAGAAAACCCACAGTTTAAAGGGGAACATGGGAGAAACCTCAGGGAGAGCAACAGAGGAGGGATCCCTCTCCCAGGACGGACAGACGTGCAATAGGTGCCGTGTGTAAATCGAAAAGATAATACATTTACAACATAGGTAATAAAAGATTATTAAACACAGTTTTAAGCGGTTTGGTTCTGGATGAGCTGTTCATTTTTGGTTTAACTGATCCGACACAGTTTAATTTCGCATTAGAGCAAACTGAGATTGCGCCGGGCTCTTTATTTTCTACATATGAAATATCTTCCATTTATATTTCCAGTCAGGCCACAGCTATTGAATCTGTTCCAGTCTGCTCTCAACATTTCCAGGAAGTGATAAAAAGAGTTGGATCTGTTTTTCTGCAAATCTCTCAGCGTTGCAGACTGCATTGTAAAATGTCTCTTGTGTGTCCAGGTTACATTGGGGTGGTGAACAGGAGCCAAAAAGACATAGACGGTAAGAAGGACATCAATGCTGCTATGGCCGCTGAGAGGAAGTTCTTTCTCTCCCACCCCGGATACAGACACCTGGCCGACCGCATGGGAACACCCTTCCTGCAGAAGACCCTCAATCAGGTGTGTAAAAGTAAAACAGAGTGAGAGTGTCAGCAACAGATTATTCAACGTCCATTGAATCTATACTGAATCATGACACACATCAAAATATATCAAAATATATCAAAAATACAATACGTACATCAAATTATGAGTCTGTTTTTTTTTCAAGCAATGTAATTTTAAAGGTCACCTATTATGCAACATTAACTTTTTTCCTATCTTTTATACATAAATATGTGTCTCCTCTGTGGAAAGAGATTCTGGAAGTTTCAGGACAAAAGATTCTCTCACTTTTTGTCCTGATCCATTTATATAAAAACCTGTCTGAAAATAAGATGATCAGATTTTGGCCACTTTATGATGTCATAACGATTTTTTGGCCATAAACCAACCAAGGTAACCCCCGCCCACCTTATCACCTGAATCTCCTCCTGTATAGAGCACCATTAGGCGCTTTCACACCGGAGTACTTTTCCCAGGAATAGTTCCGATAGTTCCTGGGATTTTGCGTTCACACCAAAAAGATCTGGAACTATAACTTTTTTTTGCAAACCTTTTCACCCCTTTTTAGTCCCTGCTAGAGAGCAGGGACTTTCCTGGGGAGAAAAAGGTTCAAATTTCTGAATGGCTGGGCGAATTGCAAACCACGCCCCGTAAAACTCAGAAAAGTTTTGTGAAGCCGCCATTGTATTTGCTGGCATTAGCATTATTAGCATTAGCCCAGCGCACCAACAGAGAGAGACTAATTTATGGCAACACAAAAAAAAAACATGGGAGCGGTGGAGATGAGGAGGTGTCGGCGTTCTGGTGATTTACTCGGAAGGCTTCAGTAGAAGCTGCTGGGAGTCCCAGCAGCTTCTACTGAAGCCAGTCCCCAACTCCGGGGACTTTGGGCGGCAGTATACGCCGTGAAGTTGTATGCGGCCTGCCAGTAAACCCAAAGCAGAAGAAGAAGAAGTGACGTCAGCGGCTTAATTTGCCTAATCCTCCCTCAGGGACTTATTCCGGTGTGAACGCGATCTGCTCTTTAGTTCCGATGAACTAAGTACTGGGAACTAAGTACGGCAAAGTACTTGGTGTGAAAGCGCCTATTGTGTTCTTTTTAACCAAATATCTCGCAGAGGGGCGTTGGGAGTGGCTCCTTATTTTCATCTAAAGTAAAAGACAGAGACTCAGCACTTTTGAAACAGGGCTGAAACAGAGGGGATTATGGGATGCTACAATGATCTGTTTGGTATTTCGAGCCAAACACTTCAGAGACATGTTTTGTATATATCTAAGACCTATAATATATTGATGAAAAACAGTATAATAGGGGACCTTTAATGAAACTAAGTTACTAGTAGTCGAGTAAACTGTACAATATTGCCTTCAGAAATGTGGTGCCGTAGATGTAGATAGTGACATGAAAAGGAAATATCTCAAATTGAAGTGCCTTAAAATTGTGCAGCACATTACTGAATGTACTCAGTTACTTTCCACCACTGGTTCTGACTCTGACCTTTGACCTGCACAGCAACTGACCAACCACATCCGGGACACCCTGCCGGCCCTGAGGGCCAAACTGCAGAGTCAGCTGCTGTCCATAGAGAAGGAGGTGGAGGAGTACAAGAACTTCAGACCTGACGACCCGTCCCGCAAGACCAAGGCTCTGCTGCAGTGAGTACACAGAGGAAGTAAAAATGAGGTAAAAACTGAATAAAAGACTGAACAATATTTCTGTCCTCTCCTCAGGATGGTGCAGCAGTTCTCTGTTGACTTTGATAAATGTATCGAGGGCTCCGGGGACCAGATCGACACCGCGGAGCTGTCAGGAGGCGCCAGGATCAATCGCATCTTCCACGAACGCTTCCCCTTCGAACTGGTTAAGGTCCGTGTCTTTCGGATTTAGTTTTTTGGGTGGAGGATTTCAGAATCAGAATTAAGTTCATTGCCAGCTACGTTTACACATACAAGGAATTTGCTTTGGTTTCTGGTGGTGCATGAAAAAAAGCTACTTTGAAACGAAGTGACAAAGTACTTACACGGTTAAAAAAGGAATAGAAAAAATAAACCAAGATTCAAGAATCATTAAAATAATTAATACATGTTATAATGGAAATATAATTCAAAAGACAATTACATAAAATGTTGGAAATGAATGAAATCTTGCATTTATAACTAGCTTCTTTATTTTTTATTAAATATCCGCTTTTGTGAAGTGATTTAAAATATGTTACAAAATTCAAACTTAATGATAACATCTGTCGCATTGGTGTAAAATATTTGGGCTCAGGAAATTCTGGTGACTTTACATTTTTTATTAATACTACAGTCCAAAAAGGATTCACAGTGACATAAAATGTAAAGAGAGTACAAACTGTGTACAACTGCCAGTGTGTGCAGCTTAAAAACCTGAAGGAAATACCAGAAATGAGCCAGAAAAAAAGGAAATTCTTTATATCTTTAAGAGTTTATAAGAAAAATGAGGATATAAAAATGTCCTACGTGAAACACATGTTCTCTCTGGTTCCCTCAGGTCTCTCATTCTGGGTTTCCGACCCCGACTCCCCCCTCTCGGTCTTACAGCTACTTTTCCCATTGTCCTCTCTTCACTCTCACTTCACCTCCAACATCACATTCTACCTTCTGTTTCTCCCACTCTGTCTTCATATCCATCCACATTGAATCCCTCCCTCACATCCTCTCTGCTCACCTTTCACATCATCCCTCCTCTAAGCATTTTACCTCACCCCTTCTCGGTTCAAACTCCTTTCTCTCCCTCATTTCATTCATCCCTTCCCTCACCCTCCCTCTGAGGATATAACTCTTACCCTCTGTGACGGAGGCTTTAGAGAAATGGCCTGTCTGTTTCCCACAGTGAGAACAGAGCAGGTTGCTTCCTAACCAGAAGCTTGACTCATAAAATAGTATAATATTTATAATAAATGCTCTTAAGGAAATGCCTTATCGAGGAAACAGGGAATGAATGAGTTACTGAAGTAATTAAAGTCAGGTGCTTTAAAAATGAAATATAAAGCAGATTTCTATATAGAAGATCAGCTGTTATATCTTAGTATGAGCAAGATTTGTGGAGGAGTAAGCATGATAAAGGTTTGCATTCTTGCTATCTAAAAAATAAAAGCAAAACGGCTAGAAACACATTTCTTGGAAAAAATAAATAGTAAAGCTTATATGTGTTCTTATCCAGTCGTTGTCAATAAGGCTGGAACAACTAACTGATTGAAAAATATCTATTGCAATTGATATGTCATTTGAGATGTGTTAGTTATAATGGTGGTTATTTTAGTAAGGAATTTTGCTGAACAATTTCAGCCCCAGTTCCTTACATTTTCAGCATGTTAATTGTTATCAGCTGACATGGTGTTTGAAAAAAAGTAATTGAGATTGAGAAATTACGAAAAAATGTATAAACAAACCTCCCTGCTGTCCCTATTTGTTTTGCAGATGGAGTTTGATGAGAAAGAGCTTCGCAAGGAGATCAGCTACGCCATCAAGAACATTCATGGAATCAGGCACGTCCCCCCTCTGCCTCACCCCTCCGCCCTCTTCCCTCCCTTTCTTTCTCTTTCTCTCTATCTCTCTGCTGGCCAAGCTGCTTTTAACTGACTTTTCCTATCTAACCACAAATACCTTTATTCTTGCGCGTTGTTGAATACTAACCGCATCGATACACTTGGTGTGCGCATAAACAGAAAACTATTGTTTTATTTGAGTGAGTCTATAAACTGTATTGTCTAAATGCCATACAAAATATAAAACGTCATCTTAATTTGGTGCCAAAAAAGTATTTAAAATAGTCTTTCTGAATCAGATAGTAACAGGATATAGTGAGAAGGAGAAGATGTCGGATTTGCGGGTAAATGTGTAAAATGTTAAAATAAATAATATTATATTTTAGAGTATTTTTAAGTACAGATTTCTTGAATTGAATTGATATTGCAATATATTTTTTAGAAAATGTTGAATTGTGGCTCTATCTTTTTTTTTGCCTCTCTTTTTGACTAGTTTGTGTCTGATTATATTTGGGGAAAGCTCAGAAATGGAGGGGGATTCTTTACAATTAACAATCTGAAATTAACACTTTTTACCCAACCCTCCTCCCTCCTTTTTTCTTCTTCTTCTTCTTCTTCTCCACCATCCACCTCTCTTTTTTTGGCCCTGTGGCTGGTTCTCTATCTGTCGGGCAGAACTGGCCTCTTCACCCCGGACATGGCCTTTGAGACCATTGTGAAAAGGCAGATTGGGAAGATTAAAGAGCCTTGCACCAAATGTGTGGACATGGTCATTTCTGAGCTAGTCAATACGGTTAGGCAGTGTACCAAGAAGGTAAACAATAAAAGTAAACAGTGGATAGCACTCTTTGTCTTCAAACCCCATCTGCAAAGTCCCTCTGCTGTTCACTCCCTGTAACCTGTGTGCCTACTGTATGCTTCGGACGCGTTGTAGAAATCTGTGCTGAGGAAAACCAGTGTGGAGGCTGAGCGGTTATCAAAATATGGCTGCCTATAAAATATAAAATATCAGAGCAGACTCAGCTCAAAACTTGAGTTCATGACTTTGATTCAAAGGCTTCGCTTTTACTTCCAAAAGAATCCAGTTTGAACAGATGATATTACCATTAATCCTTGAATCGTATTCATGCACATTTATGTTTTAGTGACCTCAGTTTGGTTGTTTTGGCACTGTCTTCTGGAGGATTTTGCACTGCTTCCCAATTCCACACTAAGGACTACTATATATGCTCTCAGTCTCATAGTGCACTGTTTCTGCTGATTGTATACATTAAGTCAGTGTTCTTTTTCTAATAGAACATGATGCAACATTACCTTTTTAATGCCACTTCCATTTCAATGTAACCCTTAGAAGGAACTACATGTATTTCCTATGGAGTTCTTCTGCACACAAGATATGATTTTGTTGTCGCAAGATATTACTATATAGTTATTTTCATCTTATTTGCACATATAAGTATGTTGTGTGCAAAACTAAGAGCTAGAATTTATTGTGGAATTTGGACACTTTTCTTTAAACCTCCTGCTAAAGATTATATGCACTAAGTAATGATTTCAAATAGATTTTTGTAGATTTACCAAAGTAGTTTTCAAAGTACTGGACTAATAAATACAATGGTATTCACATGTTATCATGATTTAAAGTGCCTGGCAGCCATATTGGATGACCTCAGCTCCCAGACTTCCTTGTGAGTGAGGCTGCAGCCGCACACCTGCAGCAGACGGGAGCCATGACTTTCGTTTTGAACTCCTCCTCTGGGGCCGCACTCTCAGAAACAGACCCTTGTGAGTGTGGCCAGGAGAAAAGGCAGTAGTCTTTGTCCAAATTGATCCACTGTGACCAAACCATTTTTACAGCGGTTGGACTGCAACAACCTGGAGGCCCTGGGAAAACAAATGTTAGGCTCCCACTGGAAGTCAGAGGTTTAAAGGAGGGGTGGAAGGAGCAGAGGGTCACACCAGGAGGGATCAGGGTGTTATGGCTGACCGTCGGGGGTGCACAGCTGCTGTCTCGCGGTGCTTTGAGTTTCTGGCTGGTGGAGTTGTGCAGACTGGAAGCTCTCTCTATGTCTTCTTCTTTCTCTCACCTTTTCTTTCTCTGTTGATAGAGAGAGACTCCAGCGCTGTCCTGTACTAGAATGACTTCAGGGGAATCCAAATGTCTCACTTGCATTTTCCTTCTTCTGTGCTGTTTACCCCCCCACCCCCAACCCTCACACCTCTCCTTGTCTTTTTATCTTCTTTCTTCTTTTCCATTTCCCATTCCCATCCTCCTCGTTTGTGTAATATTCTTTTCCCTCGCCATCTGTTTTCACTCTTTTGTTTTTTTGTCCCGCGCCTCCACTTTTTCTTCGTCTGACCATTCCTTTAAGTCGTCGTACACATTTTTCATTTGGTGCTTTTACTTCTCCTTTTTATTATCCTTTTTTTGTTTTCTTTCCTATTTATTTTCCTGCTCCCCCCGTGCCCCCTGCCTATCCCTACAGGACGGGGCTGTTCACCCCCGATCTGGCCTTTGAGGCCATAGTGAAAAAGCAGATCCAAAAGCTGAAGGCGCCCACACTGAAGTGTATAGATATGGTAGTGAGCGAACTCACCTCCACCATACGAAAGTGTAGTAACAAGGTAAAATGCCATAGAGAAGCTAGCCACCCTTTGCTATTGCTTTTAATCACTTGTAAGGGTAGACCGATGGCTGGGCATTGAAATCAGGGGGTATTTGTTTATATGTTAATATAAGCTCATTAGATGTTTAAACACATTACATTTTATTTTACTAGTTACATTGACCAAGTTCTTCATCGTAGTTTAGAGCATAAGCAATAAGCATGCTAACATTTTCTATTTAGTCATTAATGAAAGTAAAGGCAGATGGAAATGACATTAGTTTTGCAAACCAAAGTATTACACAAATTGTTATTTTTGACTTGATGATGGCGCTAAATGTAAATGTATGGGATAAAAAAAATCTGGCAATACTTATATTTATAATTAATATGTTCAGAATAATTAATAATTGTAAAACATTGGAATTTACTGTAGGTTATGCATTTGCAGAGCAGGTCTAATATTTACAGATTAAAGCAGAAACACTATATCTAGATTCCTCAGCCAGCAGAAATAGGTCTATCCTTACTCCAGATTTGCTACTATTTAGTTCGCAAATGCAACTTTTTAATTTTGTCTTGGCAATTATTGGGCCTTTTATGACAAGTTAACTAATTGTTGCTTCTCAACCTGCATGATAAATACTTTTATTTGACATCATGATGTCGAAAAACCCTTTGATTTCAGGTTTGCTAAAATCCCTTTTTCCCTTTCCTCGTCAATACGAGTTAATAATAAAGTGAGTGATTGTGTAGTTCCACTCACTGACCCAAGGAGGGTGTTAATATGTATCTGGTGTCCTCCATCCTGTCGTCCTCTAACCCTTTGAACCTGCTGCTTCCTTGCAAAACCCAGCGTGACCTCCTTTGGGTTTCTCTTCCCTGTCACACTTAATTTCACCTTCAGAGACAAACACTATTTAAAGATACTGTCTTATAGTAGACAGTGGGAACATCACAAAGTGGTCAGTTTGAAGTCTTCCTCCATCCCCCTTTCTCCCATCCCTGCCTCCCTGCTCCTCTGCATTGCATGTCAGTCTGAATCACTGTGAGTGCCTCTGCCTGCAGCCTTGTTTATAAAACACAAACATTTCTTTAGACAGTTTTTATGACCCTGAACACCTCAGCCTTTGTCTATCTTCAAGTTGCAATGCACCTTTCCAGTGGCACAAGTTATGTCACTTTCAATTGATTGAAAAAATCAACAATTTATTGGTTTTGTGTTATTTTTCAATATTGAACTAAGCTATGGTTGCTTTTCAATTATATTTAAACTTATTTCCAACAAATAACAATGTGACAATACACGTTTTATTGCTTGATTCTATAACATATTTACCTTTCTTTCAAAAAAGACACATGATAAAACAATTAAAAACTATAATATTTATATGCAGGCTATCTTGCCAGTGTTTTCTGAGCCTGGAGTAGTAGCAAAAGCAGCTCTTCCGCAGGCTATGCTGCTGTTCTCTGATGCATACAAGTGACACATTAAACTGTACATCACATTTCTTGCGAGTGCCTCGCATATCAGAAGACGCGGGGACACAAAGAGTTGAATGGCACGATGATTGACACTGTTATAAAGCATCTATTCATTATGGATGTCGTCTGCTTTGTAATTGGATCCAATCCAGGAAGCAGTAAATCTGCTTTAGTGCCAGAAAGAAGTCCATATCCATCACTCAACACAACCATCTGAGAGACATGAAAGATGCATTGTAACTTGCAGCGTACTACTCTCTTTCCTTCTGGCGCTGTGATTTTGTTTTTCTTATTTTTCCTTTTTTCTTCACACTTCTCCAAAAGTGTTTTGTGTCTCATTGGAGGCCCACCAGCGTCTGCGTTCGTGGGTTTGCAATGAGCTCATGGAAAAAAAGACCCGCAGTGTGCTGGGAAAAGGAAGCTTTTCTGCCAGGAACATTGTTTATTCTGTTTGTGTGGTAATATCACAGACTTTGCACTATTCTCACTATTCTTCTACATTTGTTGCATAATGGTAACAAATGTAAGTTTGGATCATAAAATGGATTCTTAACGCAAATCCACCCACTGATCCCAGACTAGAGCTCCGTCTGGGATAACCCCGTTTAAAACATCACCTGTTTTACTATGTTTCTGTTACATATTTAGTTGTATTGGTGGAACTGAGTGTTGTGGTTCAGTGAGGTGAGAATATAGTGGTGTACTGAAGGTTGTGTGTTTGTTTTACTACCTACACACTTTGCTCTGTGCTCACAGCTGGCTCAGTATCCCATGTTGAGAGAGGAGATGGAGAGAATCGTAACCCAGCACATCAGGGACAGAGAAAGCCGCACTAAGACCCAGGTAACACACAACAGAAATGATGAGTACGGACCAAGTTAATTGTATTAATAATTTTTAAATTGTCTAACTGTCAGGCAAACATTGTCATTTGTAACTTCATTGGGAACGTTATGTTCAATTATCTCAGTATGTTTTGAATCTTGTAGGTGATTAAAAAAAAAGGTACTGTAGTAGTTTTCACTGGGATTGTCTACTTTTTGACAAACATTTTTTTACGCTGCTGCAACACAAACATTTCCCAAATTGGGATCATTAAAGTAATATCTTATCTTATCTTACTATGCCACAAGAATACATCTAAAGATAGATAAAATGTGTTGAATAAGGTTACTTTGACTTGGGTAACATTATGGTAGTTTCTGTTTTAAATGATAGCATTACAACAACACTCATGACAGGTTGAAAGTCAGCCTTGCACACCAAATGAACATAAAAACAACATTTGCGAAGCTATGAATTGATCCTTAGGAGATCAATAAGTGGACATTTAGTGATCTACCATATATATTAATCTTGTGTTAATAATTATAATTATGAACTTTTGAAGCTTTGGCAACATTTAAAAAATAAAGCCACTTTCTCTCTGTTCAGGTGCTGCTGTTGATAGACATTGAGTTGTCGTACATGAACACCAATCACGAGGACTTCATCGGATTTGCAAAGTGAGTTTCTCTCTTTTCTTCTTCTCCATTATAGAGAAATATATATTTATATAACGATCCACAGTCACTGCGGTGATTAGTGCTTAGAGATTTAGCAGTTTAATACCATAATACTATCTGATTTTTATTTTTTTGTGTAGTGCTCAGCAGAGGATCAACCAAATCAACAAGAAGAAGGCCGCTGGTAACCAGGTACTTTGATCACAATATCATCGCCATCAAATACTGCCAGTTTTATGAGACTTTTACAGGTTTTACTACAGTACAGCCATAGAAACAGGCTGACCTCTGGAGTGTGTTTCGTCTGTTGGCCAACAACGTAACATCTGAACTTCATACAGTCTTTCCCTGAGGCTTTATTCTGTTAGCACTCAGCTCTCTGTTTTGTCCATGCTAAATGTAGCACGGCTATACAGTATCTTATTACCCTGGGCAACAGTCCACGTCTTACATAATGCAGTCCTGTACAGTGTGTGTGCATGTTACACACTAATGTACAGCAGTCGTCCAATTATGAAACATTTTGTCCCTTCGGTGGAAATCAAGGATAATCCAAACAATCATATTAATTAAAAACACACATACTGGCAATGTTACGAAATCCTGTCAAAAAACGAAATCTCTCCATCTGGATCTTGAACTGCATTAAATGAACAAACATGTATTATATTAGTATGACTGTTTTTTTCATTTTAGTAAGTGCATAAGGTCATGTGAATTCTTTTTTAAAATAATGGTGACAATGTTATGAAACAAGAAATAACACGTTTTTTAAGTACCTCACGGTTTCGTTTTTCATGGGTTTACTTTACACAAAATGAGCACAATCAATAGGATTTGTTAAATGTGGTTTATAAACACACCATTCGGCAGTGGTCCTCATTCTCGTCTCGACAAGGGTTACGGTGATCGACAACAGGTGAAGGCCAACTCCAGATGTCTTGCTACATTTTAGCTGTGCCTGCCATTTTCTTAGCTTCCTTTGGGATAGATGCTTGCGATCTAGCACCTGGTTGCTATATTTTTATATAGGGTGATGCCAAGAAACGTCTAAAATGAAGAAAATAAAAAGAGAAAATACAGGCAAGGCCACACACTTCGGATCAAATAACACATTGACATTAACCAGTCAATGACTACACACTATACATATGAGGTAACATAAACACACATTGCATGATTTACATTCTGCTTTTACACAAAGTTCTTCTATGTTTCCTACATTTTAATATTATTCTCGTCAGCCCTTGGTGTTCTGGTGTTTCTATTCTGTTGCCTGTTTCCTTTGAGTGATTTCTTCTTTTTCTGTGTCTCGTCTTCTTTATCTTCCTCCCTGTGGTGTTTCTGCTTCAGGATGAGATCATGGTGAGTTGTGTGTGTGTGTGTGTGTGTGTGTGTGTGTGTGTGTGTGTGTGTGTGTGTGTGTGTGTGGTGTGTGTGTGGTGTGTGTGTGTGTGTGTGTGTGTGTGTGTGTGTGTGTGTGTGTGTGTGTGTGTGTGTGTGTGTGTGTGTGTGTGTGTGTGTGTGTGTGTGTGTGTGTGTGTGGGTGTGGGTGTGGGTGTGGGTGTGGGTGTGGTGTGTGGTGTGTGTGTGTTTGTGAATCTGTGCATGTATGCAGTTATGCTTTCATGCATCTGTGCTTCAGTCTTTACGCTCTGCATACATATTTGTTTAAATGTGTGTGTCTCTTATGTGTTAGCTTCATGCTAACTACCAGTACGACGGGCAGGTGGCTGAGGTGGGGGATGCTTGGCTGCTGCCCTTTCCTTCTTTCTCAGATGTGTCACTTACACAAAATGTTTATTATCGTACAGGGCTTCTTTACGCTGGGTTGAGTCTCGGTTTGGAGAAGCTAGTCATTGCTTTAACCCTGAGGCAGGTTAGCTCTGGTGGTGAAAATACACCCAACACTAGTCATTTGAACTAGATTCAAAGATCCAAAGGCTTTATATAAAGGTTGCAATTGACCAATGTGCAAATAAAAGCAGAAAAAGTAAAATATATGAATGTAAAATAGAATAAGATAAGCTATAAACGTAAATAAGAATGTAAAATCAAATACGCTCAAGTGGAATAAAATACTGCTTATTGTTCAAATGAATAAATACATGAGCTGTAAACGGACGAATGCTATAAAGATTTGAACGCTCTGAACAGAGCTCAGGGGTAAACAGTCATAAAAAGAGACATTTACTTGTGTGTTCTTGAATCTCAAAGAGGAATAGAGTGGAGACGGAATAGATTTTCTTTCCTTGGAGAGAGTTATCAAAATGTTTTATTAACAGGTCACTAGACTTCCTCTCTTTTATTCCCTGCTGTCTCTCCCCGATTCACTGCAGTGTGTTAGACACATGTCACCTCCATAGATGTCGGTTGTAATAACAATCTCTCAGATCGGGGTCAAAGGTCAGGGGCACATTGTAAACAAAGTGGTGATCTTCACTTCCTGTTTACAGATGGATATAGTTAGCCCTACAGCTTCTGTTCTCTTGATTTAACACCCTCCTGACCTCTTGGATTACTAAATATAACTTTATTTTAAAACTTAGTCCAGATCCGAAACAAATCTTTAGATAAAAAAAATATTCTGAATAACGAAAATATTTAAAAAAAGAAATGCTGCTGAGATTAGCAGGCATGCAATTAAAGGATTTTTTATTGTAGTTTTTTATTAAGTTTTTCCATACCCAAATTTGAACGTTTAAGGATAAAGAGTGTTGTATGTAGAGCCCTCTGTGACAAATGGGTTTATATTTTGTCCGTCAATAAAAAAAGCGTCTGGTGTCTCTTTAACTTAATCCATGGCTTGAAATCGGTGTGCAGGCGTTACTTTAAAAACCTCCTTGGACATTTGACTTTTCTGGATGCCCTTTTTGTCTCTTATTTGATTATTTGACTCTCTAAGCCACTTCTTCAATAAAACATCAGATTCGTGACTCTTTCTACAGCTTAGACACTAGGCTCACTTTAGAGGAAATTAAACATCACAGGAAATGAAGGTTGAAATGAAAGGGGAGTGCATTTTTGTCAGTTAAGCTTGATCACTCCATGACTTCTCCTCAAAAAGCACATACTGTATAAACCAGTCCGGCTCCTGCATTTCATTGCATGGCCTCAAAAAGGTTTGAAATTGGCCATTCTTGTTGTAGCCTCCTCACTCCCCCTGCCCTGCTTGCTGTCCCCTTGCCAGCTGTTATGTGCTGGTACCTGAACAACATTGTGTACTTGGCCTTTAACAAATGCCCTGCGTTGGCGTTCTCTCCACATTCTCATTCAGCCGGAGAGAGGAGTTAGCGATCGGTTCAAGGTAAATAACACGCACACCATGTACTGTATGTGTCTATAGTTTCCTTTTGGTGGAGAGAATGAACTAGGAGAAAGAAAAAGAGTGTGAGGAGTGTGTTTAGCCAAGTAGGTGAGTCTCCTTAGTGTTGTTGTCACTTCCTATCTCCACTAGAAGCAGTGACATTACATGTTACTGTGCTGAGCATACATGTTAGTGATGTGCATATTTGTGTTACCAGCACAGACTGACAGATTGGGTGTTTTTCCTTTAGTATGTTATGAATAATCATTTTGCTTTCTCTGCTTGCCTGTGTGTCTCAGGTGATCAGGAAGGGTTGGCTGACCATCAACAACATTGGGATCATGAAGGGAGGAGCCAAGGAGTACTGGTTCGTCCTCACTGCAGAGTCCATGTCCTGGTACAAAGACGATGAGGTGAGAAGCTGTTCACACACAATCTCATGTAAACACAAACATTAAGATCACACCTGTACATTTCTGTATAAGGACACTTAAAGCCTTTTTGATTGCATTCAAATCAACTCAACAAATTGCAAGTGGTCCGAAAAGAAAGACGTGTTGCTGTATTGTGATATATTATTATGTAGGTAGCAGTAAGCTTTGTTTGGCTCATGCATATGCCCATGTAAAAGCGAGCCTATTTAAAAAGTAGTTCAAATTGTTGAATTCAGGGTCATGCTAAAAGTAGAAAAAAAGCATGTTTTAAAAAAAAAAAGAAGCTGTATTTACAATTATTCAGTTATACATCTGATTGTTAAGAAGCTCCATTTACTTATGCACGGGATAAGATATCTTCCCCTCTGTCTGAACACCATCAAAAGTATGCTGTTTAACAACAGACCAATATATTTTCCTCCAAAATGAAAATACCAGGAGACATATTTCAGTTGAACGAGTTTCCATCAGAGAGATTATATTCTCTTTTTTATCCAAACTGTATTCCAGCTCACTACGCCGGCAATATAACGGTGGTTGGTCCGACTCCTTTGCAAACTGAGATGTTTTGACCCGGCGTGCTTTTTAGTACTGGATCAACTGGTCAGAGCGGTGTCCCATGATGCTTTGCAGAACTATTAGGAGCTAGCCACAGTCTCACTGTCTCCAGGCCTTAGCCACAGCCGCTCTGCTCGCTAACATGTGTGTGTGTGTGTGTGCTGCATTTAGAAGGCCTTTTACAAAGAGTCAGGACCCCCCAGCATGTCAGACATCGAAGCTGGCACACACATGTGCATACCAGAGCCCCCTGCCCTGTTCCCAATTACACACACACACACACACACACACACACACACACACACACACACACACACACACACACACACACACACACACACACACACACACACACACACACACACACACACACACACACACACAGGCACAGGCACACACAGGCACACACACAAGCTGCTTTTAATAAACGTACTTTATTTCAAAGAAAGGGCACAAAGTGAGCAAGGGACTGGATTGTAGGGGAGGAGGGAGGAGTGTCTCTTGTTAGCAGCAGAAGTAACAAGGACCATGTGAAGTGAGAGAAAGTACGAGAGATGGAATTAAGAGCATGGGGGGAGACAGGGGGGAGGAGAAAGGTCTGCGGTGGACGTTTTTCTTTATATCCTCCCTTTATACCTCTTTCCTCTCCTAATTTCCCATTGCCCCCTCATACATCCTTAAAGATGTAGGAAATACTTCTTCACCCCACCTTCACTAACTTTCTGTCTCACTCTTTCCTTGTCACCCTCTCCTTCTCTGTCTCCACCTCTCTCCCTCGCTTCTTGTACTGTATATTTATTTGAACATGCAGGGAGACCCAAAACCAACACATGGTGCCGGTGTAAAAGCTCAGTGCAAAGGTTGAAGAACAAAAAAAAACCTTTCCATTTTGCATTTTTTTTCTATCCAAGCTGAACATTTAGAAATAGTCTGGTCACACAAGCACACACGCACTAGAGGTGAAAGTACGCCTGAGAGCATTCACTCACATGTGCACCTGGACTCGCCAAAATACACACAGTTAATAAAATGCTGGAAACTGTTTTATGTTTAAATTGTGAAAAAAAAGTATGAGAAAAAAAGCTTTTGCAAAAGTGCAGCAACATTTTATTGACTGCCTCTCGTCATGGGGAAAGCCCCTGCCGCAGCCTGGTAAAATACACACACACACACACGCACGCACGCACACACACACACACACACTGACACACACACGCACAAACACACAACCCCTAGAAACTAATATAACTTCAACCAACTACTGGTAAATCAGAACCAGGGCGAAAGAGGTTGTGTGTGTGTGTGTGTGTGTGTGTGTGTGTGTGTGTGTGTGTGTGTGTGTGTGTGTGTTGTGTGTGTGTGTGTGTGTGGTGTGTGTGTGTGTGTGTGTGTGTGTGTGTGTGTGTGTGTGTGTGTGTGTGTGTGTGTGTGTGTGTGTGTGTGTGTGTGTGTGTGTGTGTGTGTGTGTGTGTGTGTGTGTGGTGTGTAGGCATGATTCAAAGTCTGTGTGATTCAAAGTTGAGACATACTGTAAGTAGTCAAAGTTTGCCTCCTTCACCTTTTTCATCTCACACGCATATTTAGCTTTCTTTTTTTTCACAAGAGTAATCAATGCTAGTGTTTCCAGGTGTGTTGTAGTGTGTGTGTGTGTGTGGTGTGTGTGTGTGTGTGTGTGTGTGTGTGTGTGTGTGGTGTGTGTGTGTGTGTGTGTGGTGGTGGTGTGTGTTGTGTGTGTGTGTGGTGTGTGTGTGTGTGTGTGTGTGTGTGTGTGTGTGTGTGTGTGTGTGGTGTGTGTGTGTGTGTGTGTGTGTGTGTGTGTGTGTGTGTGTGTGTGTATGTATATAGAGGTGGCCAAGGCTGTATGTTTATTTTAGCTATGGTTTCTGAGCTCCAAATCAAAGCAGGCTCAATCCCGGGAGAGACGACTCAGCAGTACAGGCAGAGATGGAGGGATGTGGAGGGAAAGTGAGAGGGAAATGGAGATGAAAGAAGGAAGCAACTTAAAAATGTGGGGCGAAAAAAGATGTAAAAATAAATATGCAAAATGTTGTTGAGAAAGGAGCCAGAACAGAGAATCAATCCTCATTATTGTTGCAGTAAAGTTTGGAGTTTTTGGGATTGGAAGGAGTGAATGTTAATGGGTGGGGGGAGCGCTGCGGTTGCACCGACATTGTTTCCACTGTTTGGATGACCAGGCAGGCAGCTTATTTTTCAAACTCTTAGTCAATAGAGCCAGAAACACTGAGAAAGTATGCACACACACATGCAAACACACACATATACACGTATGGAGTGTAATGCGTGATTCCATGTTATTGCGTCTTGTCATGAAATACTGCTGGTTAACATTTTAATGAGAAGTTATCAACTCTATTTTTCCCATTTTTGTATTTTGATATTGTATAAAGCAAACGACTTTTTTCAGTTTATGCGTGTGTAATTGTATCTTTCGAGTGTTTGCATCCGTGTGGTGAGACTTAGCTTGTAGATGCCGCCCCACAATGTGATCTCCTGTATTTTATACAATTGTCAGCAATCAGCTCTAAGCATGTCCAATCGCAATTATTCTTGTTGGATAACATGAATGCAAACCACAAAATAGCTTGGTTTTATTTTTCCCTCTCACTCAAAGTATCACATTGTTATTATAATGTCTTTGTTAAAATGAAAATCTGGATTTCTTTTTTTAGATATTATCCAATATCATAGTGTTATAGTCAGAGGGAAAGTGGTATTAGAGGTATTTAGATTCAGAAATATAAGTAACAATACATTGAAGTCCTGCATTCAAGGACATAACTGTTTTTTAGAAAGGTGCTATTGTTGTGTGGATAGTTTTAACTACAACATTGTTAAATAGTTTGATGGAGTTGTGCTCAGGCTAGGGATCGGTCCCCTCTTTAAAAAGTATTTCAAATGAATAATTGAGTTGGATAGAGGCAAACACAACGTTCTGCCACACAAATTCATTTGATTGACTTTTCTCTTATATTTGACTTTTTGTGACATTTATTGGATACTTTTTTTATCTCTTTGGGCCTTGTGTATTTATTTGAATGAAACCATGTGAGAAGTTTAAAGGTGAAATGTATTTAAAGTAGAACTGCCAAAAACTCATAGACATCTGAAATGAGTAAAAAGTTCAGTATCATCTTCTGAGATGTCATGAACTAAAAGTATAAAGTAAATAGTAAAGTTAGGTATCCTACATGTGTGCGGGCCTTTTATCAATTTTGAATAGTTCAAATACAGACACACACACACTGGTGATAACACAAGATAAACAGAAATGTTCAAATAGCTTCTCTATCTTGCCTACCTTTTAAAAATGTAAATGTTACAACTATTAGACACACAACTCTACTAATACATCTACTGAAATTAATCAAAGTTAGCAAATATGTGAGCATTTAAAAAAACAAACAAAAAACAGAAAGAAGTAATGGACCAAATGATGGAAAAATTGTAACAATGGCACCCAAAGGGGTAATGGATGAATAAGAGTGTGTCTTATTTAAAAGGAAACAGTAGAAAAGTGGGTTAGAGATTGCAAATGAGAAACAAGAGAGGAGTGAAGACCGCAGTGTGTCCGAGTGGGCCGGGGAGGTACACAGGGTGGTTTGTGGGATAATTCAAAGTTTATCCTGCCTGATTGATGAGATAAATGAGTAATGTTTGTTTGTTTTTAAGTAAATTATCATTCTTTCTACCTGATTGTTCCGCACATATCCAGAACATAATGTCAATACAAAAATCATTTGAGAAACAAAGCCTGAGATTAGACTCAAACAGGAACCAGACAGATAGAAAACACAGTCGTGCACTTAATGTCTTCTGGCATATTGTATTTGTATTCAGCGTGTGTGTGTGTGTGTGTGTGTGTGTGTGTGTGTGTGTGTGTGTGTGTGTGTGTGTGTGTGTGTGTGTGTGTGTGTGTGTGTGTGTGTGTGTGTGTAGTTTGTAATTTTGATATGTGTGTGAGACTCTGCAGGCTCCTTTGAAGAGGGCTTGACAGACATTTAATGCATGTGTATAATAACACAAGACATGGACTTTAGGGTGTCATTTTTCATTTAATATATTTTCATGTTGTTTTACTTATCTTATAAATCGTTTTTTTGTTTTGTTTTAAAGACTTACCTGAGATCCAATTGACTCTTTAACCTTGACATAAGTGAGAGAATTTCAAGTTAATAAATATCACGTTTTACAAGATTTACTGTAAATGTGTTAAGTAAAAAAATAAACCCTCTCCACCCTTGGAACTGCCCACCATTGGCACTATTATGTCATACAAATAAATTCAGCCCCAACACGCCCTCAACAATTTTGATTAAGAAGTGCACATTTTATACTCTGGCGGTTTATTTTACTATAAAAAGTATTTTAGCAGTTCATTTTGGCCTTACTGTATCTGCGAT